TATCAATGAAGATATGGTTCTATCATAAGACAAATTACGGAAAGTGAACTCAAACAAAAAGTGACACAATGCATTTGCCAACCAAATAACTTTACAAAGCAAAAACTTAAATTACTTGTCAAGCTTACTATTCTTATTTTAACAATTAAAAAATTAAATTTTATTTTTTATTTAAAAAAATCATCTTATATCATCTGATATATATATAACAGCATTAATATTTCAATGATTCACAAATCAACTTTTTCATTATTTTAAATAATTATAGAATATATACCGACTTTTTGTACATAAATATTTTTAGATTCAATAATGATTTACGGTTTTTTTCAAAACTTATAATTTTCAAATGAGTGGTAGAATCTTCGATTTAATTGATTTAGAATGGTTAAATCAAGCTAATCAACAAATTCAAAGCGGTATTAACGTCGAAACCGTTCTCCAAAATGTCCCTTTAACAGATGGAAGAATTCTTCCCACAATATCACATAAAACTTTTAAAAACGCTCTTAATTTCAATCAAATTGAAATTCCAAAATTACGTACAGGTCCAAAACCAAAAGATCCACCACAAGGGATCAAATTCAAAATTTAATCGAAAATTATAACGCAACACCACATACACAGTTACCAAAAAATCCAGAAATACATACCTGGTTTACACCAAACAAATTTTATGATATCAGCGAAAAATATGATACCACCAAAGAACCCCTTTGGAAAGTTGATGGAGAAATTAAGGATTTGAGGATTTCTCTTCAACATTTCCGCGAGAGAGAGCCAATCAAAGAAATTAATTCGGTAATATTTTAAAATCGAAAATAAAATCTAATTTTTAACACAAATTAACAATATCGATTACATCTTCTTACTAAGCTCAGTCAGATTAATAAGAATAAACACTTACTTTTTAAAACATTTACATATTTTTTTTCTTCGTTACAGAGATACGCAAGTTGCAGAAGAAGCAGCAACTGTAGTACAGTAATTTGACACTCCGAAATCGAACATTAGTGACTTTGAGTAGATTTTGAATTTAATATAGATCTTGATTTTTAATAACCATCATAGCAAGAGCTAGTTGGTGAATGGTATCCGCGAATTTCGGCTTGAAAGTTGGGAAACTTTGTCTGAATGTTAAACTATTCGGACAAAGTTTCCCGCTGTTTGCGAAGGAATTGTTGGCTATGATGTACTGATTCATGATCAGTGCATCATAGCCAACAATTCCTTATACAAAGTTCAAAAGCTTGGGTGCAATCAGTTCTGATTGCACCCAAGTTTTTGAACTTTCTCGAGGGAATGAAAGGGTAAGAGGTATACATTATGAATATATACCTCTTACCCTTCCATTCCCTCTCTGACAGCGGGAAACTTTGTCTGAATGTTAAACTATTCAGACAAAGTTTCCCGCTTTTGCGAAGGAATTGTTGGCTATGATGTACTGATTCATGATCAGTGCATCATAGCCAACAATTCCTTATACAAAGTTCAAAAGCTTGGGTGCAATCAGTTCTGATTGCACCCAAGTTTTTGAACTTTCTCGAGGAATGAAAGGGTAAGAGGTATACATTATGAATATATACCTCTTACCCTTCCATTCCCTCTCTGACAGCGGGAAACTTTGTCTGAATGTTAAACTATTCAGACAAAGTTTCCCGCTGTTTGCGAAGGAATTGTTGGCTATGATGTACTGATTCATGATCAGTACATCATAGCCAACAATTCCTTATACAAAGTTCAAAAGCTTGGGTGCAATCAGTTCTGATTGCACCCAAGTTTTTGAACTTTCTCGAGGGAATGAAAGGGTAAGAGGTATACATTATGAATATATACCTCTTACCCTTCCATTCCCTCTCTGACAGCGGGAAACTTTGTCTGAATGTTAAACTATTCAGACAAAGTTTCCTGCTGTTTGCGAAGGAATTGTTGGCTATGATGTACTGATTCATGATCAGTACATCATAGCCAACAATTCCTTATACAAAGTTCAAAAGCTTGGGTGCAATCAGTTCTGATTGCACCCAAGTTTTTGAACTTTCTCGAGGGAATGAAAGGGTAAGAGGTATACATTATGAATATATACCTCTTACCCTTCCATTCCCTCTCTGACAGCGGGAAACTTTGTCTGAATGTTAAACTATTCAGACAAAGTTTCCTGCTGTTTGCGAAGGAATTGTTGGCTATGATGTACTGATTCATGATCAGTACATCATAGCCAACAATTCCTTATACAAAGTTCAAAAGCTTGGGTGCAATCAGAACTGATTGCACCCAAGTTTTTGAACTTTCTCGAGGGAATGAAAGGTAAGAGATATCCATTTCCTTTCACCTTCGTTCTCAATAATTAACTTATAAATTTTTTAAAGCAAAAAAAGTCTGATTTTTTTTGACAAGTAAATATATAGGGAATTTATCCGACCAAATAAGTGTCACTTTTTCGGTTCACCTCACTTTCCGTAACTCGTCTTACAACAGTTCTTCATTTTTGCTGGATTGCTAGCCATCACAAAAAAGCCATGCCGGCTTCCGTGTGATGCCGCATCAATTGTTATCGAATAGTAGCCCATCTTGTCAAGCTCAACGTGTATTTTTGGAGCTACCAAGTCGGCTAATGTAATGATTCCATCCCTTATCTCGTCTCTTCTATATGGGATCTTGAGTTGAAAATTGATTACTCCCTTGAAGGTGGAGTAGATATGTCGGGCGAAATCTTCTAGTACACCTGAAGCGGCCATATTGATTGACATGTTGGTATCCACAACAAATTTTACAACATAAAGTAATTTTCTATCTTGTTTTATTAAATCTCTTCTCGTATATGGATTATTTTCACATTGTATTTGATATATATGCTGATGATCTTCATCAAATTCTGATGGTTTTCGATGATAAATGCAGCGCATATATGTTTTTGTTAGTAAATTGTAATGTATCGCTAAACAATAACAATAAAGTCTTTTTCGTTCTTTCGATTTTCGCTTGTATCTGGAAGATAAGCAATATTGAAACATACTCGACATTTATTATTAGTTGAGAATTCAGTATCCTCGAATTTTGGTAAGGGAGGTACTTTTCGAGGGATATTTTTGGGAGGAAGTTTGCAATCAATCCATCCCTCAAATTTGGATTCATATTCATCTTGTGTTTCAGTCATTAATTCTTAAAAATAAAAAGGGTAAAAACTAAATAAAATGTGTAAAATTCAATAGTGTCTGTGCTATCGTTCAATTTGAAGGTGTCTTTTGAAACCGCAAGACACATTGAATTTTTGAATAGTGTATTATGTTTTGACAGACACCAATGAAAAAAAAATAAAATGATATTTATTTTAAATATATAAGATCCTTATATAAAATATAAATATTTTATCGTTTTATTTTCTTGTTTTAGAAATGTTTTTTATTGAAAAATCAATAAAACTAACTCCAAAATAAAATTTTTGATTTAAAGACACTATGATGACACCAGGCAAATCTTCCAAGACACCTATCGTCGGGAATCTAACAACCCTAATCCTCAGGAATTAAGGGATTTTTGAATTTTAAGAATTTTTTTCGAATTTTTTCGAAAAAAAAATATTTTCAGAACAGCCTTAACGGCTAAGATTTAGGAACAATGTTAAGTGTCAAAAAGAAAGGAAGTCTGATATAGACAACATATATCGTTGAAGGTTGAAAAAATCTCTAATATTTGAGCCCAAAATTTCAAATTTTAATTTTTTGAAAAAAGAGGCCACCCGTATGTACGTTTATTTGAGAGGAGGAGGATTATATTTTTGAAAGGGTGAAACATTATGAATATGTTAATTATATAATAATATGTATTATTATAAAAAAGAAAAAATAAAGCACGTTAAAATTTTTCTTTCTTGATTTTTTACAAAATCTACTTAGAATTATGCAAAATATGACTAAATAATTATAAATTTCAAGTTAAATTTTAATTTTGATAAATAATTTAAATTTCAAAATATCAAGTTCAGTTCGACTATGTATGTAGTAATTCCTCAATAAAGTGCCAAAACCCTATTAAAATATATGAACATTTTCAACATTTTAATGTTTTTATTTAAAAATTTGTTGGAATATGAGCTTCAAACAATTATTATGTAAATAAAAATAATTAAATATATGTATTTATTCGTATTACAACCGTAGTAAGTCGATTCTTCCTTTCTTCTACTGAGATTTGAATTTGATTTCGAATTGTAAAGAGATTCAAAGGGAAAATACTAGCGGATAAAAACTACCTCCATGAAAGAGTCATAATGGAGTCAAGTTGTATTTTTTGATATTTTTTGCTTTTCGAGCCTAAATAGGTAGCCAAGATAATGCCTAAAAATAAGGTTCTAAATTCTGAAGTTTACATGATCCTCTCGTGTGCACCCTTAAATAACAATCCTTTTTTTTAAATCTCGAGTCAATCAAAAGATCATAGAATTTCAAACAAATAAACGCTTGAATTTTATTCAAATGATTGGAGCTACATTCTCCACTTCAAACAAACAAGCAAGCAAACAGGAGAGGAAAAAATGGATTTTTGTTGAATTCAAACATTTTGTATGTCAATATCAAAAAGAAATAGTTTATTTTATGATGAAATCTACTTCACAAGTTCGACTGTATCAACAAAAACGGAGAGGATGTCAGAAATTTGCAAATGCACTCGAAAATCAATTGATTAAAAATATACTCTGAACTTTTTCTGAAATCCGTAAGTGAGCCCTTAAACAACATAAATAAATAGGGTATTATTATTGTCATCTAGTAGTTTTAGACAATGCGAATTTTCGAATTATCGAATTTTTAGCCACTACATATATAATGGTTGTTTTCACATTATAGACATAGATGAAATTGATGTTCTTTCTTTATTTTGGTCCCAAAGCATGCTTGAAAATGATATTTTTGTCACTTTTCTCTAAATAAATACAAATTTTAAAATTTTTTTTTATAATTCTATAAAGATAAATATATGTATAAAATATAACTCTAAAATTAGTTCAAAACACTATTCAATTTCCTCATTTTTGGTTTCATTTTTTTGTATAATCTTTCTAACTCATTCAAAATCTGTTGATTTTGGCTAACAATATTTCTAAAAATAGCAATCAACTCTTCTATTATTTCCTGGTCGAGATCGGCCTTTGCGACCTTTTCATCATCCCAAGTAATTAATCTTGCAATTGCATAAGCAGTTTCATTAGCCAAATCGCCAACTAATTTTCCATTATTATACAAAGTAATAATATTCATTGACATTGTTTTTGCTTCAGAATAATCATAAGGCGGAAATTGTTCCAAAGCAGCCGAACAATATGAATTATCCAGATCAACTTTGACAGCCAAAGAAAGATATAAAGAAGCAATATTTGCAAGTAAATCTTGGTATCCAACCTTTTCACCCTTTGCATTATTGTACCAATCATTTATCTGTCCTAAATAACCTTTGATAATTTCGATTAAATTTTCATGTCTTTGCACCAACAAATTCAGGAAATAAACAATGTTTTGTTGAAGAGAAGGTTCAGAAGCTTTCTCTATATCATCTAAAACACTTCTTAAAACTTCATTTGTTTTCTCTTCTGAAACAGCATTTCCATCCAAAAGAGCGATAAATGCTCTAGAAACTTCGAAATGAGCGAGTTCATCATCAAGATTATACCATTCCAATAAGTACTCAACAATTTGATCGCTTGATGGCGAAGACAACTCTAGAAGAGCAGAACAAAAAGTACAAAAAGCAGGGAAAACAAATGAAGCAGCACCTGATTCCTTCAATTTTTTACCTTCTAAGAAAGGAATATTTCCAGAAGAAACACTTTCAAAAACTTCATCAGCTAGTTGAATATAATTTGGAGCCATTTCATTACTCATTCTTATAAACTTACTTGCTGCGAAGAAACAATCAGTAATGAATAAAAATCTTTGGCTTTCTTCATTGATGATTTGAATTATATTCTTGTAAAAATCAAATCTCGTTTCATCATCCAAAAGATGTCTGATTTTGAGGGCGCATTCAATAGCTGTTTTTTGGAGACTTGGTTTACTTTGTTGTATCAAGTTCTTTATTCCATCACAAACAGCAGGGAACACTTGATCTAATAATTCTCTTTTTTGGTCATCGATTTCTAGTTCTTCGTGGATTTGGCCCCATATTTTTGTAACTCTACTCAAGCATCTCAATGAAGATTTGATTAAACTCATTCTTTCTCGAGAAAGACTCAACTTAGAAACAAACTGTAACATGGGACCAATGAATTCAAGTACATATCCTAAGGCTTCTCTCTTTAAACATGTAATTAAGCCACTAAGATAATCAACAGCTGAAATGGCTTCATCAAAAAGTGACATTTCCTGATCAGGATTATCCTGTTGTAAAACCTGTTGAATGACTTCTCCGACAACAGGTATTAACATTTCATTCAATGTTATTACCTGTGCTTCATCAACTTTGATTAATTGAATAGCTAAATCAAAACAAGAAACTTTGGCATCAATTGAATGTTGGGTAACAACGTCATTGATAAGCTCAATAACTATGTCGGCAGATTCGTCATCAAATTCACTGGTGTTTGGAATAGAAAGTGCTAAAATTTTTATGAAATTTGAGATGTTATCGGCTGTCACTTTTTCTATCAATTCATAAATTGTTTGGAATAAGTTATCCACAGGTGTATCGAGCTTGGAAAGTATAGCTTCCAATGCTTGGTATGCGTGAATTGTTAATTCAGAGTTTTCATTGGCCAAAATAGTAATTAATGGTGGAATGAAATTTGCTGAGTGACAATTCAATGATTTGAAGCCTTCGTCGAAATGGGAGAGTACCATACATGCCGCTTCTTGAAGTTTTGGCTTGTCTTCCATTGTAACGGCTGTTTCAAGAGTTTCAATAATATATCCAATGTTTTTGAACGCGAAATTGGCAGCATTTGTGAAGAAAGCACGAAACACAAGTAATGCTGTTGCTTGGCATGTGACATCATCTGAATCTATGTATTGGTTGATTAATTCACTGATGAAATTACAAATTTCTTCTCCAGGATAGTGGAACATGGATGATTCGATGACTGAGATCCTATCTTCTTGTATGGAGTCATCTTCATTCATTAAAACTGCACAAACAGCAAAACAGGCTGCAATTGTTCGCTTGACAAGGTCAATTGGGATTTCTTCAGCGGTATAAAAGATTTCTAGACAGGCAACACGTAGCTGTGTTGTGTATTCACCATTTTCGGCAACGGAAATTGCTTTGTCTATCATGGAAATCGCAAATTTTGGAAAATCTTCGGAAATTTCTTGGTTAAGAACACCGATATCGTTCCAAAATGAGACGGAATATGATTCTCTAGAGATACCAATGAGTTCTGGTAGCTCGTTGATTCGAGAAATGTGGTTTTCTGATGCTTCAAGAATATCTGTAGTAGCTACTATCTTTGAGACTAATTTTACAAAAATATGGAAGCCGTGGTATATTGTTAATGCGTCATCTTTGTTCATTGCTTCTAATGAAATGTTATTGAAAGTTTCCCAAAATTTTTCGCATGTTTCGTTCTTCAATTTTTCGATAAGTGTTGAAAGTAAGAAAATGCCAAAGTAATAGCGTTCTGGATTTTTAATGCATTCGCTGACGAAATCTAATAAACCTGGATATTGATTTATATCGTGCTCATAAAGATAAGTGAGGTTGTCCGCAATAAGCTGGTATGTATCTTGATTGAAATTTGCGTTCAATTTTGTGAGTAATAGGTTTTGAATATGTAATTGATATTGTTCATCGAGATGTACAATCTTTTCTTTAAGGAATCTGTATAAATATGTTAGAGCAGCCTTTTGAAGAACAGAACCGGGGTTCTCTTGCATAATATTGAGTAAAAAAAATGGCGCATTACGGTCTAAAGTAAATTTTTGGAGCTTTTGATTTATTTCAGGACTTGCTTGTCGGATTGATTGTAAAAGCAGCTCTGAAAGTTCTTGCTGATCCATTATTTCTTTAGACTGATTTTTATTAAAATTTTTTTGGAACAAAGTCTCTCCAAAAAAAATTTTTTTTACTGGAGAAGACAATTTCATTATTTTAAAAACGGATGAAATACTATTAGATTTGGAGAATTGAAATTTAATATTCAAATGCTATAATTTGAGATTAATCTTTTCTTCAATTCTCAATTTTGTCTTTAATGATCAAATCTGAAGGATATAGAATTAAACATGATCCATACAATTTATTTTGTTATATTGCATCTCTTAAAATAATAATTTAATTTCATATTTTCAAAATATTGGATTGTACTTTATGAAAGATAAGGATTTTCTAAAATATTAATGCTAACTATGATCAAATATATTGATATTCTCAGCTCGGTAGTTTAAGATTATATTTTCATAAAAAATCCAAAATTTAAAATAGTATTATTCGCAAAATCTTTGTATCACTTTACTTGAATAATTGCATACTAATCAAATAATACTATGTCTCTTCGTTATTCATATCAAAAAATCAGAATATGAAAAATATATCCATAATTTTAAGGAAAATTTTAGAAAGAAAAGGGTAAAAAGTATTATATACTTGAAAGATTAATATTATTAATAAAGGTTATCCCTAACATGAAAGATATTTATTTTGATAGAAATTTTTCGTTAGTTTTGAATTGAAGCCTGTGGTTGGGAGTTAATGTTTCCGAAGAAAACACGGATGAAGGAATGGTATGTTCCAATTGTGAGCTGAACAAGACCAATGAGGAAAATGAAGATAAGGATCAAGAATGTTAAGTCCCAAGCAAGTCTTTCCTTCTTGGAGAAGAGGTAAACGCCAGTTGCCATGCGGTAGTTCTTGAAGAGAGAAACTGGATCAAATTTCATGAAGAAATGATTTTATTGGCCATTTTTGATTCAATTTTCAAAAAGCTCTTACAAAATTTTGAAAAACAAATATAAATAATATGTGAGCATAGTTTATTGTTATATTTTCAAAATGTGACGAATTAGCGATTGATTTTTCTGAGAATTTTTGGCCGTAAATTGGATAGAGAAAAAAGATATTGGATTAAACTTCGCAATACAAATAAATGAATCACCAAGAGCAAACCATTGATTTCGTCTTAGGTTTTCATTGCGAAATCCATAATTTCATAAAAAAATATTTTCAAGTTTATGATGTATGAAGCATTCATCGGATTTATTGTAGTCACATGCTATTGTATCTTTGCTTTCTATCTTGTAACAATCTAAAATGTTTTTGTCAATATTATCTTATTTATTTGGGAATCTGTCGTTCAGATCCTTTGTGGGACTATGTTTCTCACATCTCCACACAGATGTATTATCTGCCAGTAAAGCAGGCAACATATATGTAATAAATTTATCAAAATTTCTGTTCAATCCCAATATATAATTCACGGTTGAATTGTTGTTTAGGAAATTTTATTTAGGATTTTCAACTCAGAGAATGAAACTTATAATTTTTCCTAAATTGGATTATATTTATAATAAGGAGGCATTTTTTACAAAAAAAAGCCTATTGGTATAATCAATTAGGAAAAAAAGATAGAAAAATCATAGAATATAATAAAATTTAGTCCCTATGCCGAGCAAGGAAGGATTTACTAAATACGTGGATGAGAAAATTCTCGTTTATACAGCATGCTTCCAACTGGTCAAGTGGATTATCCAAAACTCTGCCCATGTAAACAATAAACTGGTCTTCAACAGGAATTCCAGTCTTTGAGCTTATCTTTTTCTTTAAATCATTGACAATCGATTCGCGGGAGATATCGATATCGTAGCTTCCACCTTGGGCAACATTGCATCTAATGTGGTACTCCATGTTCAAGAAAATGATTTTAAGAAACCGTCTTTTCTCAAGAAATTCGAATGCTTTCAAAATTCAAAAAATGGCATTTTTTTCAATACAAAATTATAGCAGCAATTTTGAAGATTAAAAGAAATTGAAATTTAGATCTTTTATTAGTTTTTGGAAAAAAAATCAAGAGAAAAATTCCAATTGAATTAAAAATTTTGAATTCAAAATTTGGGAAAAGGTTTTAATATTAAGAATCTTTATCCAAGTTTCTATTTTGATCAAATTTAAATTCAGATTTCCATATCGTTGCGAATTTCTATATCATCAGAAATATTGTGTGGAAGGAGTTCAATTTTGAATCCGAGATTTTGTAAATAGTATATATTTTAGCGACTTAAGTTAACACTTTCTTGAATATTTTCGCTGCAAATAAATCTAACAAGATATTATAATGTAATAAAGACCATTTGGAAAAATTCCAAAAATTCATCATAAAACTCAATTGACAATTTCCACTTCTAATTCACAACTGAGTTTTTACTTATTATATTCAAATGAATTGTTAAATAATTGGTATTTCCAAATGCGAAAGTTTTACCAAATCTTGATAGAATTTTTCTTAGAGAAAATATTCAAACAGGGTTATAAGAAAGTGTCAATTTAAGTTTCCAAAATTAACACAATCCACACAATCTGTGATCCTAATTAAGGGGTGAATAATAATTAAATTCATTCGTAAAGTTTTTTTATCAATGAAGAGAGAAAGGGAAAGCTAAAGGGATTTTACATAGTTAAATGAGTTTAAATTTATCAAAGTAATCCAAATGTATGTAAGTTCTACTATTAAAAATCATATTTATTATTAATCATAAATAACAAAACAAAAAATAATAATTATAATGAATTAAGCCTTTGCGAGAAGTGGAAGTCCATCATAAGCTAATTGCTCACTTTCTCTTACAATTCTAGAATACGATGGATACCACAACGATTTGAGAATTCTAAACAATGCTTCAGGAATTAATCCAGCAATGATTGAAATAATAATTTCCAACCATGCGATTGGCATTCGAAATACAGTCTGCGGCACAAAGAACATCGAAGGAGCGAAAGAACTCAATGATCCATAAGGCAAAGTGAACAAATAGAAAACGAATATTGACAAATAAACAGCCAAAAACAAAATCAATGTCCAACCATGAGTTCTCATGATAACTTGTATATTCATGCACATAACAACAGACACGAATAATGTGAATCCTGCTGTTGAATATCCTGTAGAATCTCCATTTCCATCTATTACACTTCTGCTTGGGAAATAAACATTAAACAAAAACAAAACAACAGATTGATAAGTAGCCGAAACAAATTCTAAACTAAATCTCCATATACTTAAATATCTTCCTGCTCTTGCTTCTTTGTACAAATAAGGATAAGACATCATACTCTTGAATGACAGATCTTGTTCGAACCATCCATATTCAACAGGTGGGAAAATTGTCCATACTAAGTTAAATGTACTCAACAAGAAATCATCATAAATTGTTGTCGGCGTCCAACGAGTCATGATTGAGTACCAAATCTGAGGGAAAATCAAAACAATGTTCTTTGTAATCATATACAAAATAACACCTGATAATCTCAACAAACTCAATCTGCCATGGCAAACCATCAATCTTTTTAGATGTTTAAATCTTGTGATTGCAAAATCAGAATTACTCGCTGCTTGATGACCTTCTCTGCCAAAAATTCCGATGCCGACATGTGCTGTTTGTATCATATTAACATCATTAGCTCCATCACCTATCGATAAACAAACTCTGTCAGTGTTTTCACGAACAACTGCAACAACACGAGATTTCAAAAAAGGTGACATTCTGAAACAAACGACAGAACGACATAAATCACCAATTTCTACCAATTTCTTTGGATTGTTTTCAATCAAATTCTCAAGACCGTCTGGAGAAATAACTGCGACAGATTGTCTTGCGTTCATTATTCCTTCGAGTGCTGTATTCGTTTCTTCTTCCGTTCCTTCCAAAATTTCAAAAACAGAGCAACTTGGAGTGATGACATTTGTTGATTTCGCAATTGAAACAGCTGTTTCTTTTTTGTCTCCTGTTAATACCCAGAATCTCACATCCATCCTTGCAAGATAAGCGACAGTTTCTGCAACGTAAGGCTGCAATTCATCTTCAATTGCTACTGCTCCTAAAAGAGTTAATGAATGTTCAATTTCTGATCCAACTCTTGCAATATTTTCTTCTCTGTTTTCTAACTCGATTGCAGCGTTTTGTAGTCTTTCTTTCCAATTTGTATACTCTTGTTTATCGAGTTTCCTGTATCCAAGAACTAATGTTCTAAGGCCTTGTTCGGCAAACGAAGTTATTTGTGAATTTACTAAATCAATTGTTGATTTGTCTTCGTCATTTTTCAGTAAATTCATCATCATCGCGTCCGCTCCTTTCATGAACAAGTAAATGTCATTTGAAAGTGTGCGAACAACAACAGACATCCTCTTCCTAGCAGATGTAAATGCAACTGACGCTAAATGGTCGTAAATCGTCTCTGTTCCATCAATTTCAACAGTTATACTTTCATCAGAAACTCTTGAAATTAATTTGACGCCAAGTTTTGCGGTATGAGTAACTAAAGCTTCTTCGTCTGGTGATTCACTAGAATAGCCTTCACTTGAGACAATAACTGAATGACAAAGACCAAGACATTGTAAGAAAAGTGACAAATTTTCATCGGTTGAAATTTTTGACTTTATTAAGTCGATTTGGTTTAATGTGTCATAGATATCTCCTCGAACTGACATTTGTACGAACGACATCTTGTTTTCTGTTAATGTACCTGTTTTATCGGAGAAAACATGGTCAATGACTCCTAATTCTTCATTTAAGTTTGAATTCTTCGGGGAACAGAAGCCAAGGCCTGGTTCATACATTCCAAAATCTTTGGAGAAGGTCCAACTCTGGAATAATCGTATAAATTCGATAGTTACGTATAAAGAAATCGGAATCATGTAAGAAAGCAAAATTGCGTAAGCTGTGAACTCTTGGAAGAAGAAATATGCTAAGTTTGTTTGTTTCTTAACCCAATAGAAGTTCATTTTCTTCTCGTAAATGAAATCCATGATGGTCAAAAACAAAACAATGGAGAAATTCAAAATAAAGTCAAAAATAATGATTTTGTTCAGTCTCTTTTCGAGTTGTGATGTCTTATGAGGTGGATGACGCTGATTTTGAATAATTCTTGTATCATGGCCTGTATAAAGGCATAAACCAACAGTCCATGATGTATTCTTAAGGAACACACCTCTAAGAATGCAGTTATGTATCGAAAACGGAAATTGATTGTTGTTTACCGTAAATGTGCCATTGACTCGTTGAATATCTTTATTTGGAAGAGATATTGTAATCGTACCGTGTATTCTACCTGCTTCTTCTGGAGAAAGTTGTGCTGAAGAGAAGAGAGCTTTCCTTTGCTTGATTGCTGTTTCTCCGTTTAAATTCACTTCATTTGCATAGCATTCACCTCCCTTTTCGGAGGTTGCGAGTATTGCAATGTCTGCAGGCATCTCAACGCAGCTCTCTATTTTGATTATATCGCCTGGTTTTATCTTCCAAGATTGTAATTTAACGAATCTGCCATCCCTCCATACTTCAAATGGAAAATTATTGTATTTTTGATCGTTTAAGAAACGCATTAAATCTTCAATAAGCGCTTTTACCATTGATACCACAGTGACAAAAATTAAAGGAGCGATTTGGACAACGGGACTAATTGGAGACCACGGCATGAAGCCTAAAATTGCCATAATCAAGAAATAAATGTTTGCAAATCTGTTAAAATTTTCGTATAAAGTTAATGGAATGAATGAAAAAAGGGAATAACGCGTTGTTTTGACGTAATTGTCAGCTTGAATACCTTTGGGGAACTCAGTATCACCTATATTAAAGGAATACTGCCCATAGTTATTCTGTTCAGTCATAAAATCAACAAAAAATTTATTTTGATAGGAATCAAGTAGAACTTTTTCAACTATCTTAATCCGCTTTTTTGAATTAACATTTGTATTCACCCCAATAGCACAAGTGATTTTATTCTTCTGAAATCTTTGAATTGAGATTCTGGCTAAATTTTGTGAATTTGACGATGAGTTATAGGAATTGACCAAGCTATATATATAAATCTCTCACGATTTCGCTCTTAGATATTCGCATATCCTGTTCATACTCGAGTGATAAGAATTTTCTTCCAAAATTGCAAACTTTATCCAGATTATTTCGCAATATTTCTGAGTCCTATTTACTCTTCTCTAAATAATTCTGCTTTGAAATTGTCTGTATGGTTAAATTAAAAAAGTGTTGCAGAAGATGAGTAATGTTATTGTGAACTTTCTAATCTAACTATAAAAAGAGTTAACATAAGTTATGTAATACCTATTCAACAGATCAACAGATGTATAATCCAAAAGATTAAATAATATGAGAATAATCTATAATGAGGATATATATGGATGTATCTGTGCTTTGTAGAAGCATAATGGTTGTCTATGGTAAGACATTTTGTGATAAAACATATTAATTTTTCATTTGAAATTTTATGTTCAATATGGCTATTATTAGAGAGAATATTATATGGTCACATCGAGAAATAACTGATATGCAAATTAGAAAACAAGTTAGTATATTTTTAATAATCTTTGGATAAGTTGCTTTTTAAAGGGAAATATTATATGCTAAAAGACTTAAAATCGAATACTACGCCATGAGTTGAAGTTTCAGCAGAGCAAATTCAAAAATAAAATATTTGGAAAAAATTGAAGGGTAAAAAATTTGTAAATGATTGTAATGGTGTATTAATATATATTAATGTGTTGTTTATGTAGATTAGTTAACAATAAGAAGTGAGTAATACAAAAAAATTACTCATCGGCATCTTCTTCTTCAACTTCGAGTAATTTGTTTTCTTTATCTTTGTCAACTTTGCCAATGAGAATAACTTGATCACTGCGGATGAAAATAGTGCCCAACTTCTCTTCATCATCGTAACCATTTGGTCCAAAGGTACGTAAAACAGCTTTAGCAAGAATAATATTACCAAATTGATCAAAGCTAGAAAGTTCACCGACGTATTCAATATCATCTGCTGTAATAACGCATACTTTTGTATCAAGTTCGAAGATAAGTGACATATTTCCTGGATATTCTTCTGGATTCAACTTTGCCTTATAATCTTCTCTGTATTTATCGAATTCCTTAGCAAGAAGCTTCTTATGCCTCAAGTCTCTGTCGTGTGTAGACATATTAAATAAGCACTTTTTTCAGTCACTTTTTGCATTGATAAAGAAAGTTATATCAAAGCGACCATCTATAATTTTCTATAACAATATTAATATGCAATTGAATGCGAGCTTGATTCTGTTGTAAACAGAAATTCATCAAAAGTGACATCTCAGAAAAGCTAAAATATTGAATTTTTTGGAACTTTTGATAGAGCACGTTTTTAAATATTAATTAAAGTAATGTATATTTTGTAAAGATTCTTTTTAATAAAAAAGTAAAATTTTGAAGAAGAACACAAAATCTTCTGAAAAATAATATCACATAAACTCATATTATTTTCTAATATATAACTATTTTATATAAAAATCAAATTCAATGATCTTAAAAGCGAAGGATAAACCTCAAAATTTACGAATATAATGAGTGGGAATATAATGCTTATCTATCATAAAACCATATGAAATATCAATTTTTGCTTTACGCCTAATTTTTGACGACAATTAGCAAAAAATGTTAAATGTTAACACTCAGTCCATTTGAATATGAAAAATAAAATTGACTTTGATTAAATGTTTTTATTTATCATGCAATTCTTCTTGCGACGAGAGAGGGTCAAAGTTGCTATTTGTCACTTTTCCACAAGAATATAATGGGGAAAAAGTTATCATATAGTTGATCTCATTCACTGAGGTGGGAGATGCATGTAGTGTAATGTTATAAACAGTGGGATTGCTGCTCTAAGTACTAGGTTCGAGACACATTGGCTTCATTTTTCTCTTTTTTATTGACGTAAACTATTCAATTTTTGTGTTCTCCATTCAAATTTCAGAATTTTTTTTGCTGATTTCACGCTACATTCGAAGTTACCTTTTGTAACAACCACCACTGCCTACGAAAGACGAAAGTGTGTCACGATTTCACCCGGAAATCCGACGGTTGTTTAAGAGTAAGCACTTTTGTCACCTACTCTTCTTGCGACCAAAGATTTGAATAAAAGTTCAAAAAATAAGATAGCTTAAAAAATAATATACGGTAGTGTTTACTAATAGATGAATAGTATATAAATTCTATTAAAATGGATTTGATCCAAAAAAAATATAAAACCAAAAATAATTGTTATAATTTAAATGAAGAAGTAATTTAAAACGATTTTATTTATGATCAAATTTTATATATTTTTTTGGATCAAATCCATTTTAATAGAATTTATATACTATTCATCTATTAGTAAACACTACCGTATATTATTTTTAAGCTATCTTATTTTTTGAACTTTTATTCAAATCTTTGGTCGCAAGAAGAATTGCATGATAAATAAAAACATTTAATCAAAGTCAATTTTATTTTTCATATTCAAATGGACTGAGTGTTAACATTTAACATTTTTTGCTAATTGTCGTCAAAAATTAGGCGTAAAGCAAAAATTGATATTTCATATGGTTTTATGATAGATAAGCATTATATTCCCACTCATTATATTCGTAAATTTTGAGGTTTATCCTTCGCTTTTAAGATCATTGAATTTGATTTTATATAAAATAGTTATATATTAGAAAATAATATGAGTTTATGTGATATTATTTTTCAGAAGATTTCATTCTATATGCCTCTGAAAAGTACTCTCAAAACTAATTTTTTCCTAATTATAATTAAATCTAGAATATTGTATTATGCTTAGTATTATTTCATTTTTCTCATTCAATTTAGAATTTACAAATGTCAAAAAATTGAGAGCTGTCACTTTTGATGAATTTCTGTTTATTACAGATTCCACTTCTACTTAGTTCAACAACTCCAATATTGGGAAATTTTATACTCAATTTATATAATTTACTTCATGATAATGTCAGAAATTTCTTATATTATATGCGAGTGTATCATGCTTAGAACAAAATTAGCTATATCAATTAGATATTAAGATTATTTAAAAATGTTTGAGTTTACAATAGTAAATCTTTATGTCTCCCTAGAAAGAAGTGATCCTTGAAAGAATTGACATATAACACATTTGATGAAATTTTAATGAGAAGTTCAAATAAAATGATTTGATTATTTGGTTATCTTGTTAAAATGCAAGTTTGCGCTTGAATTGTTAATCTATAAAATGAATGACATAAAATATGAAAAGATAGATTTAGCCATAAAGCTCGGTTCGCATATATTAACATTGGATTTCATTGGACAGCATCATGGTCAATGAGATATAACCAGATATTTATCAAAATGAAGATCCCAATTTTACAAATGTAAATTGAATTTTTATCTAAAAAATGTGATATGTGATATAGTTGTAAAACGATAAATTGAAAGTAGAATAAAAATTGTCAAAAATTTAAAAAAAATGGATGAAGAAAAATTGATTTCAATACTACAGCAATGTAATTCGGAAGATAATGAATTACGTGCTGCAGGTGAAGAAGCTAGACTACAGCTGCTTAATAGTGATCCAAATACATTTATTGCAACACTTTTAAATTGTATTTTATCAGACAACTACAAAATCCTTCGAAACTACATGTTTGTTCTTTTAATATCCATATTCAAGCACATGAAACATATTATTTCTATTGAGACCCTATTAAATTTTTATAATTTTCTCAATTCCAACATGTCGCAGCTATTAAATTCGGCATTGTTTGATGATTTAGAGAAATCATGGACTTGCGAACTATTCTCATATGTTATTGCTTACATCCATCAATTAAATGAAGCAAATGATTTTGATTTCAATGCTCTCATTAATGAATTTTCCTCTCATATACAACCTCAATTCTACTTATCAATCATATCACAAGCGCTTGATTTATCACCTGATTTCTGCAATATTGATTTAAATCTTTTATTAAGCATTATTGCAGCCAATTCTTCTTGCACCAAAGATATAATTCAATTATACTTCTCTATCATTGCAAAATTATCCGATGATGAAGTCTGCAAAAGCCTCTTTCCTCAAATTTTGGAAATTATTTCAAATTCCGATCTGACAGCCTCCTTCGCAGTTATCTGTAGATTCTGTGAGAAAAATGCGGGCTTTTTACAGTATATAATTGTAGATTTGGCAAGATTTGTATCAAATGTCATTTTGAATATGGATAACGAGCAAACAATCATCACCGGAATATTTGTTTTCTCAGATGCAGTCATAAACAACCCAGAAATCTGCATAAAATCATTCGAATTCATAGATATTTTTTGTGATACGTTTATTACTATTATAAACCACATTGATTACATAGAAGATGCAGATGAAAGCTCAAACTCAATATATTCCATAGCAATGAGTGTCATAAATCCAATTATTGAAATAATATTTTGTTCCATGGGTCCCAAGATCCTTTCTTTGGTCAAAACTGTCACAGAAAACACCGAGTATTTATATGGATTCCTTATGTTCCTTGGAGAAAGTATCAATTGCTTTACATCAGAAACAACACAAGAATTAAAGCAATTGATACTATCGGTGATAGAAGAAGACCTTTCAGACAATCTCCGGTACGCTGTGATGAAAATATTCTCTCGAATTTCATCAACCTTATTAGAAGATCCAAGATTTTTCGAATATTTGGTCAGCGGCATCAATGATAAAGAAGATGAGAGGATCATGAACTTGGCCCTCATAGCACTTAAAAATTTGATAAGTATAGCCCTCAAAAGTTTTCATAGCATTAACCGAATTATATATGGACAGTCTATTGAAGAAGTTCTATTACAGGTCCAAGAAATAATTCTGAACGCATTCAATTTCGCTCAAACCGAAAAAGTTGTGGGAAATTTGATCGGCGTGTTATCGGAAATTTTTAATAATAGAATTGATGAATTAGATGCGGAAGAAGTCCTTGGACTATATGAACAATTTTATAACCAATATAATTCATCTCCTGTTGTGATTTCGAAAATTCTTGAAGTATTACCGAAAATTTTCATGAACTTTAAAAAGAATAACGGTGAACTCGTTAATGCTAAGGCTTCCCAGTTCTTCCATGCTTGTTTGGCCGCTTATGACTCTCAAAATCTTGATCCTCAAACACAATACGTATATATGAACAGTCTGTTGAAGATGTTAGACTATGTTGATTCAGACATCGATGAATCGCTTGGATTTTTGTATCACGGATGCATGAATTTGTTGTCTGAAGAAATTGAACCAAAAGAAGTCGACAAAAATGAAGTGGTCGACCCAGTAGTGTTTTATACTTTGATAAATATTAAGGATGGCACTAAGTATGTCATAGAAAAGGCTGCTTCTGATGGTTTATGCGAAACAATGGATAATTTGAACAAAATTATTAAAAAGGATATAGCAGAAGCAATATTAGTAGCTAATAACTTCCAAGAATATAATAATTTTGTTCAATTTTATTTGAGATATTTGTTTTCTGAAAAATATCTTGAAAATTTCTTTAGTCACTCATTCAAAGGTATGGTAAATCTCCTGAAAAGGATGAGAAGCGTTGAAGGAGCCGAAGAATGTGTTAATCAGCTGAAAAATATAATTTCGGACGCAATTCATTATCAAAAAGACGTTCACAACACTACAATTGAATTCTATAGAATCATTAAAACCACCTGCAAGTTCGTCCAATTGGAAAAAGGCTTTATTTTGGAAAAAGAAAATTTATTTGATGATATTCTCGATATTTTGTACAAATCGATACGTTTCCAGTATGATTTGTATAACAATATGTCTGCTAATGAAGACGACAGTATCGATTACTATACATATTTCGCAAAAAACATGAAAGATGAAGAATCTAAAGATTTTATCAAATTATTGGGCAAGATATCGCGAGAACGTGTTGAACCATGGTTCAGAGAAAAGATCTTCCCCCTTATTTTGCAGACAATCGATTGTGAATTGTCTATTAATGTTGAATTATTGTTTAGTTTCATTCTTTTGGACCCAGAATGTAACATATTCCTCGAATTACGTGAAATGGTCTACAAGTTCATGAATATTTTCTATCAGCATATGGAAGAAGAAGATTCGAATTATGCTGAGTCGGAATTATACAAAAAGTACCGAAATAATGGTTCCTTACAAAAGATTGCTATTCCATTCTTCGCGAATCTGTGTGATTTCGTATTATCCTACAACCAAAACCAAGAAATAATTCTTGATTTGGTCGAACACCTGAAAGACCTCACATTTAACACAATCCCTGATATCCTTGATGGTACGGACTTACCAAACGTGTTCATGATCATTTTCGCCAAGTATTCATCGTATTTCACTGAAGATGACTTGAAAGAAAACATTGACTTCATTACAGAGCAATTTATCATAAACTTCAACCTAGATTTTTACGGTAGCTATGGCTGGGCTTGTTTATATTTACTTTCTGACTGGTTATTGAAATATCAGGAGATTTTCTTTGAAGATTACCAGCAGGCGAGCGCAGTGAATGAATCAACAATTGTTGAGAACTTTTTGACTAGAATTGTCCAAGATGAATCATTTAAATACAAATTATCTTTTGAATACATCAAAGTAATGAAAAGATTCATTCAAGTATCTCATAAATTTCCATGGGTATTGGATGTAATGAAAAGATTCTATAAAAATGCACAAGAACAAAATAAATTCTCATATCAAGTAAATGCTGATCAAGTTAGTAACTTCATTGGTAAATACAACTACTATTGCCAAGAAATGATTAATGAGCATAACAAACAAGCTCAAAACCAATAATAAGAAATATAATATTTTTGTATTCTTTTATATTTTTGTTTTTATTATAAAAAACTATCTAATAACTCAATTGTATTTAGAAAACAATCTCGTAAATAACGAAATTAACAATAAATTATTGGATATCCTGTTTGACTGACCAATCTTTATATTTAGAGAATATCTCTCATCATGGGTTGCAAACCTTTATTGAATAATTCGATAAATGATCGTATGTGATCGATATATTTTACAGCATATCAAAAGAACGCTGAAAAGGTAATCATGTATGCGATTGATTTTGTCGAACCTAAACCATTAATTCGTGAGGTTGTTTTCAACAAATCGAACAGAAATCGTAAAAATTAGTTAATCTGAGTGAGGAGAATGCTTGAGATTTTAAAACTAATTTTGTTTATAGCAATTTTTTGTTCCTTTAATCGGCCATCCTAGTCCGATCATTTTTGACACATCACTTATTTAGCTTTTCTTCTCAAATTATCGATTTTTTGTAAAGTTTTTTCAAAGAAAATTTCATAGAGCTGATTGAAATTAATAATAAAGCCTATCAAAATTGAAGAATCATTTAAATTCCCCTATTACATTTTTAATAAAAAAATTCGAAGAAAAGTGTAACATGATCTCACCGACCAACGACTTTTTAGATAAAATGATTAATTCTTTATCTGAACTTATTGTTTCAATTAAGTTATTATTTTTTGTTGAATCTTTTAATTAGAACAAAAAGTGACTCGAATTCTTTGAAATGAATATATCTGATTGATAATTATTATTAATAGTTAATGAAAATATTAAAACCTTTTGATAAAAATAATTGGAAAAAAAATCTTCGCCCAAAATAAGATTTTCGAATTAGCTATTAGATTTAAATCCGGCAATCGATTATTATGAGCTTCGATTTGATTGTCAAAATGCAATTCGATTGGACACGTTTAACCTTTAGAAATAGAAGAGCTACGTTCAATTTTATAATACATACAATATAACTATTTACAAACAAGAACAAAACAACAAATAAACAAACAATATTATAATCTAGATCCGTAAAATACCTCTTGTGGATAAGTATAGCCGCGGGAATTATATTGAGATGGAGCCATAACAACAGGTTGTGGAAATCGAGGAGTAAATTGCGACAATGTCGCAACGAAAGTAACATCTGCCGCTTTATTCGCTGAATTTGCCGAATGCATTAAGGGAAAAGTAAAGCGCTTGGGATTTCCAATAGGAAAAGACCGAAGCCCTATTCTAGATCTCCCTAAAACTTGTGTAGATTGAGAATTGAATTTAAATGTTGATAAGGTTACGTATAAATACGCTCTGGATAAATCCTGTAGCTCTAATACTAGCCTCACGGGAAATTCCCAGGTAGGGTGCGCTGAAGGAATTGCTTGCGAAGTCACAACTTGATGGGGATAACCATCAGCAGACAAAACGAACCATAAAGGCGTCTGTAACATCGGCATTGATGATCCTATCTGAGCATCCTTGACGAGGATGTCGAGGATGTATGATTGACTCATGAGAAAATTATCAAGAAATCTTATCCAAACGGCGATCTATTCAATTTTTGAGATCCTCCCTCTATTTTGTCACTTTTTGAAAATTTCTATTCAGAAAAGTTTCATAAGGCTCAATGTGATAGAATTTTGATGAGGATGGTTTCATGGATTACCCATGAGGGGAAGCCGTGACTCATTACTGAGAGATTCAAATGGAGCCACAAATCCGGTGTTAAAATTTAATGCAATGCTGTATTTCAAGATTTTTTCGAAAATGAATCAATTATGATCCGTTATCAGATCAAGATCATGTTTCTCATTCTCAGGAAATTATCATATATTCGTATCTCAGGTGACAGGCTTATATTATTTTCATTTTTTGATTTTATATCATATTATCAAATAATTTCGTAATATTTTGCATTAGGTTCTAATTGATTTGATGTGATAGATAGTATAATACTAACACTAGTGTGTATTCTTAACTTTTTACAAAAATAAATATTTATTGTCGTAGATTGCATTATATATCCTCATGATATGATTCAATAGAACTTAAATATGTGTTCCCAATGTATATCATTTGTGAAAACCTTTTATCAAAATCAAAAATATTTATAAAATTAATTTAACTCTTTATTGAGCACATCAGATGCTTTTGCATGGTAGACAATTTCAACATGCGCTTATAACTATTATAACTTATTTCCTATTAAGGAATAAGAACTTTGTTTGTAGTTTAAGAGTTTGAATATCTTATGGGTCTCATTAATTGCTGATATGTAGTCTAAAGCTTGATTGATAATGAGAAAATACGAATTAATTTACTCAGATATTGAAAGTCAAATTGGAGATCTTGAAACATATCCAGTCTATTTTGAAAAATATTTTTGAAATGTTGTAGGATTTTAAACAACTGAGATATGCAAAAGTAAAATCAAACTGTCACCTTTTCCAATGACGGCGCAAGAAGATGCGTCAAAACAGACTTGGATAAGCTGGTTTCTTCAACAGCCGCTTGGAAAGTATTTCATTGAAATTGACAAAGACTATTTAATGTGCACATATAACTTTTACGGAATTCGTCAAAAAGTTTCAAATTTCAAACAAGCACTTGATCTTATTAGAGGACCATATATACCACCTGAAAAGCGTCCAACAAGCTGGGTTAGTGATATAGATGATTACGGAATCTGCTTATACGGTTTATTACACGCTAGATATTTATTGACTGACGCAGGTTTGGAAAGAATGCACGAAAAATATCTTAAAGGACCATTTTATCCATGCCCTCGTACTTTATGTAACGGCACAAATTGCCTTCCTTACGGATCGTCCGATGATATTGGCCAGTCAACCGTGAAAATGTTTTGCCCGTGCTGCCATGATGTTTACCATATTCAGGATGAAGATGGACCACTTACAGATGGTTCTTTCTTCGGACCTTCGTATGTTCATCTTTTCTTAGCGAAATATCCTTCAGTAATGCCAAAACCACCAATTAATAAGTATATTCCAAGAATTTTCGGCTTCAAAATCTGTCCTGAAACAGCATTTAAAGACGAAGAAGAGGAGGAAGAAGAATACGAAGATTCGTAACTTGCCAAATGTTATTATTCTTTCCATACTATATATAAATCACATATTGTTTACTAGTGTTAGGAAAATAAAATTTATCTCAATATAATACATACCAAGCAATCTTTTTTATACGAATAATAGAGATTTATCAAATTATAAGACATTATACTGTCTGCTAGCCTTATCTGCAAAAAGAAATTATTTTTCATTTTGATAATTTGTTATTTTAAAATTTAATATTGGTAAATAATGATTTCTGATGCATTTTATTAGGAAATAGATAGATTCTGTGCCAAAAATACAAAGATATTAAAATAATTTTGAAAAAAATGATCGAAATTTTTATTTAGAACAATACTGTATAAGTTATTGTTTCTTCCTCTTTGCAAATGCCGCCTGTAATGCTCCAACCAAATCAGGACCACGGCCTGGAGGTGGTCTTCTTGGACGTTGAACTTCCACAGCTGCAGGAGCACCTGGAGCTCCGCCAACAGCACCAGCGAAAGTGTTGCTTGACTCCTTTGGCTTGACAGGGTTCGTCTTTGCCTTCTTCTTCATCTTCGCTATCATTGCCTGGAGAGCGTCATCCGTTGGCTTGATCAATCCGCCCGGAGGCTTTGGAGCACTTCCACCAGCTGGAGGAGGTGGCAATCCTGATGGAGGTGGTGGTGGAGCGCCACCAGCAGCAGGTGGAGGTGGTGGAAGAGGTGTTCCTGGTGGTGGGGGCGGTGGTGGTGGTGGTGGAGCTGATGCAGAGACTTCTGCGGGTGGAGGAGCTGGTTCTGATGATGTCGGTGCTGATGGAGCTGGTCCTGCTGTCAAAGCATCGGCCAAACCTGCTGGAATGACTAACTTCTTTGGAGGTGGTGCAGGTGGTTTGTTCTTCTTCTCCTCCTGTTTAGCTGAGCCGCCGCCATATCCAGAAGCAATCTTGTTCATGAACTCGGCTGATAAGTTGAGTTTCTTTCTTGGAGAGCCTTGTCCATCCCTTGGACTTTCTTTGGGCTCTTCCTGCTGTGGAGAATTGAACTTTGACATGTCGAGTTTCTTGAATGGTTTTTGTGCTGCTGGCTTTGTCTCTGGCTGGTTTTGTTGCTGTGCAAATCTTGATGTGTCGAGTTTCTTGAATGGTTTTTGTGCTGCTGGCTTTGTCTCTGGCTGGTTTTGTTGCTGTGCAAATCTTGATGTGTCGAGTTTCTTGAATGGTTTTTGTGCTGCTGGCTTTGTCTCTGGCTGGTTTTGTTGCTGTGCAAATCTTGATGTGTCGAGTTTCTTGACTGGTTCCTGTGCTGCTGGCTTTGTCTCTGGCTGGTTTTGTTGCTGTGCAAATCTTGATGTGTCGAGTTTCTTGACTGGTTCCTGTGCTGCTGGCTTTGTCTCTGGCTGGTTTTGTTGCTGTGCAAATCTTGATGTGTCGAGTTTCTTGACTGGTTCCTGTGCTGCTGGCTTTGTCTCTGGCTGGTTTTGTTGCTGTGCAAATCTTGATGTGTCGAGTTTCTTGACTGGTTCCTGTGCTGCAGCTGGTTTCTGCTCTTCCTGCTGTGGCTGGTTGAATCTAGAAGCATCGAGTTTCTTGACTGGTTCCTGTGCTGCAGCTGGTTTCTGCTCTTCCTGCTGTTGGTTGTTGAATCTAGACATATCAAGCTTCTTGACTGGCTCTGCTTGTGGAGCTACCTTTGGCTCTTCCTGCTGTGGCTGGTTGAATCTTGATGTGTCGAGTTTCTTGACTGGTTCTGCCTGTGGAGCTGGTTTCTGTTCTTCTTGCTGTGGAGAATTGAACTTGGACATATCAAGTTTCTTGACTGGTTCCTGAGTTGCTGCCGTCTTTGGTTCTTCCTGCTGTGGTTGGTTGAATCTTGATGTGTCGAGTTTCTTGATTGGCTCCTGAGTTGCTGCCGTCTTTGGTTCTTCCTGCTGTGGAGTATTGAACTTGGACATGTCAAGTTTCTTGACTGGTTCCTGCTGAACTGGTTTCTGCTCTTCCTGCTGTGGCTGGTTGAATCTAGAAGCATCGAGTTTCTTGATTGGTTCCTGTGCTGCAGCTGGTTTCTGCTCTTCCTGCTGTTGGTTGTTGAATCTAGACATATCAAGCTTCTTGACTGGCTCTGCTTGTGGAGCTACCTTTGGCTCTTCCTGCTGTGGCTGGTTGAATCTTGATGTGTCGAGTTTCTTGACTGGTTCTGCCTGTGGAGCTGGTTTCTGTTCTTCTTGCTGTGGAGAATTGAACTTGGACATATCAAGTTTCTTGACTGGTTCCTGAGTTGCTGCCGTCTTTGGTTCTTCCTGCTGTGGTTGGTTGAATCTTGATGTGTCGAGTTTCTTGATTGGCTCCTGAGTTGCTGCCGTCTTTGGTTCTTCCTGCTGTGGAGTATTGAACTTGGACATGTCAAGTTTCTTGACTGGTTCCTGCTGAACTGGTTTCTGCTCTTCCTGCTGTGGCTGGTTGAATCTAGAAGCATCGAGTTTCTTGATTGGTTCCTGTGCTGCAGCTGGTTTCTGCTCTTCCTGCTGTTGGTTGTTGAATCTAGACATATCAAGCTTCTTGACTGGCTCTGCTTGTGGAGCTACCTTTGGCTCTTCCTGCTGTGGCTGGTTGAATCTTGATGTGTCGAGTTTCTTGACTGGTTCTGCCTGTGGAGCTGGTTTCTGTTCTTCTTGCTGTGGAGAATTGAACTTGGACATATCAAGTTTCTTGATTGGCTCCTGAGTTGCTGCCGTCTTTGGTTCTTCCTGCTGTGGAGTATTGAACTTGGACATGTCAAGTTTCTTGACTGGTTCCTGCTGAACTGGTTTCTGCTCTTCCTGCTGTGGCTGGTTGAATCTAGAAGCATCGAGTTTCTTGATTGGTTCCTGTGCTGCAGCTGGTTTCTGCTCTTCCTGCTGTTGGTTGTTGAATCTAGACATATCAAGCTTCTTGACTGGCTCTGCTTGTGGAGCTACCTTTGGCTCTTCCTGCTGTGGCTGGTTGAATCTTGATGTGTCGAGTTTCTTGACTGGTTCTGCCTGTGGAGCTGGTTTCTGTTCTTCTTGCTGTGGAGAATTGAACTTGGACATATCAAGTTTCTTGACTGGTTCCTGAGTTGCTGCCGTCTTTGGTTCTTCCTGCTGTGGTTGGTTGAATCTTGATGTGTCGAGTTTCTTGACTGGTTCTGCCTGTGGAGCTGTTTTCTGTTCTTCTTGCTGTGGAGAATTGAACTTGGACATATCAAGTTTCTTAACTGGCTCCTGAGTTGCTGCCGTCTTTGGTTCTTCCTGCTGTGGTTGGTTGAATCTTGATGTGTCGAGTTTCTTGATTGGCTCCTGAGTTGCTGCCGTCTTTGGTTCTTCCTGCTGTGGAGTATTGAACTTGGACATGTCGAGTTTCTTGACTGGTTCTGCCTGTGGAGCTGGTTTCTGTTCTTCTTGCTGTGGCTGGTTGAATCTAGAAACATCGAGTTTCTTGATTGGTTCCTGTGCTGCAGCTGGTTTAGGCTCCTCTTCTGGCTTAGTATTGAACTTGGACATATCAAGTTTCTTAACTGGCTCCTGTGGTGCTGGTGCTGGTTTCTCTTCTTCTTTAGGAGTGAACTTTGACATATCTAACTTCTTCGATTCCTCTTTAATTGGCTCTGGCTTTGGTTCTTCCTTCTTAGGCTCTGGAACAGGTGCTGGTTTCGAAGCTTCAACAGGCTTAACTGGTTCTGGAGCAGGTTTTGGTTGTTCAACTGGCTTTGGTGCTGGAGCTGGAGCAGGCTTTGGTTGTTCAACTGGCTTTGGTGCTGGAGCTGGAGCAGGCTTTGGTTGTTCAACTGGCTTTGGAGCTGGAGCTGGTTGTTCGACTGACTTTGGAGCTGGAGCTGGAGCTGGCTTTGGTTGTTCAACTGGCTTTGGAGCTGGTTCTGGAGCAGGCTTTGGTTGTTCAACTGGCTTTGGAGCTGGAGCTGGAGCAGGCTTTGGTTGTTCAACTGGCTTTGGAGCTGGTTCTGGAGCAGGCTTTGGTTGTTCAACTGGCTTTGGTGCTGGAGCTGGAGCAGGCTTTGGTTGTTCAACTGGCTTTGGAGCTGGAGCTGGAGCAGGCTTTGGTTGTTCAACTGGCTTTGGAGCTGGAGCTGGTTGTTCGACTGACTTTGGAGCTGGAGCTGGAGCTGGCTTTGGTTGTTCAACTGGCTTTGGAGCTGGTTCTGGAGCAGGCTTTGGTTGTTCAACTGGCTTTGGAGCTGGAGCTGGAGCAGGCTTTGGCTGTTCAACTGGCTTTGAAGCTGGAGCTGGAGCTGGTTCTGGTTGTTCGACTGGCTTTGGAGCTGGAGCTGGAGCAGGCTTTGGTTGTTCAACTGGCTTTGGTTGTTCAACTGGCTTTGGTTGTTCAACTGGCTTTGGAGCTGGAGCTGGAGCAGGCTTTGGTTGTTCAACTGGCTTTGGAGCTGGTTCTGGAGCAGGCTTTGGTTGTTCAACTGGCTTTGGTGCTGGAGCTGGAGCAGGCTTTGGTTGTTCAACTGGCTTTGGTGCTGGAGCTGGAGCAGGCTTTGGTTGTTCAACTGGCTTTGGTGCTGGAGCTGGTTGTTCGACTGGCTTTGGAGCTGGAGCTGGAGCAGGCTTTGGTTGTTCAACTGGCTTTGGAGCTGGAGCTGGAGCTGGAGCAGGCTTTGGCTGTTCAACTGGCTTTGGAGCTGGTTCTGGAGCAGGCTTTGGTTGTTCAACTGGCTTTGGTGCTGGAGCTGGAGCAGGCTTTGGTTGTTCAACTGGCTTTGGAGCTGGAGCTGGTTGTTCGACTGGCTTTGGAGCTGGAGCTGGAGCTGGAGCAGGCTTTGGTTGTTCAACTGGCTTTGGAGCTGGAGCTGGAGCAGGCTTTGGCTGTTCAACTGGCTTTGGTGCTGGAGCTGGTTGTTCGACTGGCTTTGGTGCTGGAGCTGGAGCAGGCTTTGGTTGTTCAACTGGCTTTGGAGCTGGAGCTGGAGCTGGAGCAGGCTTTGGCTGTTCAACTGGCTTTGGTGCTGGTTCTGGTTGTTCGACTGGCTTTGGTGCTGGAGCTGGAGCAGGCTTTGGTTGTTCAACTGGCTTTGAAGCTGGAGCTGGTTGTTCGACTGGCTTTGGAGCTGGAGCTGGAGCAGGCTTTGGTTGTTCAACTGGCTTTGGTTGTTCAACTGGCTTTGGTTGTTCAACTGGCTTTGGAGCTGGAGCTGGAGCAGGCTTTGGTTGTTCAACTGGCTTTGGAGCTGGTTCTGGAGCAGGCTTTGGTTGTTCAACTGGCTTTGGTGCTGGAGCTGGAGCAGGCTTTGGTTGTTCAACTGGCTTTGGTGCTGGAGCTGGAGCAGGCTTTGGTTGTTCAACTGGCTTTGGTGCTGGAGCTGGTTGTTCGACTGGCTTTGGAGCTGGAGCTGGAGCAGGCTTTGGTTGTTCAACTGGCTTTGGAGCTGGTTCTGGAGCAGGCTTTGGTTGTTCAACTGGCTTTGGAGCTGGAGCTGGAGCTGGAGCAGGCTTTGGCTGTTCAACTGGCTTTGGTGCTGGAGCTGGTTGTTCGACTGGCTTTGGAGCTGGAGCTGGAGCTGGTTCTGGTTGTTCGACTGGCTTTGGAGCTGGAGCTGGAGCAGGCTTTGGTTGTTCAACTGGCTTTGGTGCTGGAGCTGGAGCAGGCTTTGGTTGTTCAACTGGCTTTGGAGCTGGAGCAGGCTTTGGTTGTTCAACTGGCTTTGGAGCTGGAGCTGGAGCAGGCTTTGGTTGTTCAACTGGCTTTGGAGCTGGTTCTGGAGCAGGCTTTGGCTGTTCAACTGGCTTTGGTGCTGGAGCTGGAGCTGGCTTTGGTTGTTCAACTGGCTTTGGAGCTGGTTCTGGAGCAGGCTTTGGTTGTTCAACTGGCTTTGGAGCTGGTTCTGGAGCAGGCTTTGGTTGTTCAACTGGCTTTGGAGCTGGAGCTGGAGCAGGCTTTGGTTGTTCAACTGGCTTTGGAGCTGGAGCAGGCTTTGGTGCTGGCTTTGGTTGTTCGACTGGCTTTGGTTGTTCGACTGGCTTTGGAGCAGGTTTTGGCTGTTCAACTGGCTTTGGAGCTGGAGCTGGAGCAGGCTTTGGTTGTTCAACTGGCTTTGGAGCTGGTTCTGGAGCAGGCTTTGGTTGTTCGACTGGCTTTGGAGCTGGTTCTGGAGCAGGCTTTGGCTGTTCAACTGGCTTTGGAGCTGGAGCTGGAACAGGCTTTGGTTGTTCAACTGGCTTTGGTGCTGGTTCTGGAGCAGGCTTTGGCTGTTCAACTGGCTTTGGAGCTGGAGCTGGAGCAGGCTTTGGTTGTTCGACTGGCTTTGGTGCTGGCTTTGGTTGTTCGACTGGCTTTGGAGCAGGCTTTGGTTGTTCGACTGGCTTTGGAGCAGGCTTTGGTTGTTCAACTGGCTTTGGTGCTGGAGCTGGAGCAGGCTTTGGTTGTTCAACTGGCTTTGGAGCTGGTTCTGGAGCAGGCTTTGGTTGTTCAACTGGCTTTGGAGCAGGCTTTGGTTGTTCGACTGGCTTTGGAGCAGGCTTTGGTTGTTCAACTGGCTTTGGAGCTGGAGCTGGAGCAGGCTTTGGTTGAGGAGCAGGAGTTGGTTTCTGTGCTGGAGCTGGTTTCGCAGTTTGAGTTGCTGGTTTTGAAACTGGTTTGGAAGCAGGTTGAGGCGAAAGGAACATAGCCGGATCGATTTTAGCTCCTGGTACTGTGGCACAGAGGAAAGCTCTGACTTTGTCCAAATCGAGACTTATATCACCAGCAAATTGAGTACTTGGAGTATCAGCTTTGCGTATTGGTTTTGTATTTTTGATAGCATTCTTTACGTTTACATCTACCGCGATATCGATTGGCAATTTCTTTTCTTGGTTTTTAATTTGAGTGTTCGCACCATATTCAATGAGAACCTTAACTGCATCTGCTTTATATCTAGCTGCTTCGTGCAAAGGAGTATTACCGAATTTGTTCTGTTGATCAACATCGGCGCCATTTTCGATTAAGAGTTTAATAATAGCTATATTTGATTTAACAGCTGCATTATGTAATGGCGTATCTTCTTGTCTGTTTGTTGCATTTATAACTGCGCCTTTCTGAATAAGAACTTCACAAATATCTAATTTATTATAATATGCTGCTACGTGTAAAGGAGTGTCACCTAAATTTATGAAAAACTCTGTTGACTGCATTTAATTGTTTTCCATCCCTATTTAGGAGGTTCGTCACCTTTGTGGCGTCTCCATTCTTACACAGATCAAATATTTCAGGTTGGGACATTTGAAATGAACTCAATCAAACAAAAATTTAATCGCTATAATTTTAGTCAATATTATGCAGCGAGCAAGATTTATGAAAATTAATGTCAGATTTTGAAAAGACATTCAAAGTTTGAATTAATTTGAAATAGATGATCCAGAATGTGTTGGCATTTGGTAATAGAAATAGATTTATGGATTCCGATTCATGAACAAAATTGAATGTGTCAGTAGTATATGTAGCGGGTTTTGTGACTTTTTTTGTAAACGTAAGAATTCATACAATATCGAGCGATTTTGTATCATTTTTTTAACATATGAAGTAAAAAATGTATGATTCTTACGGTTTTTATTCTTACGTTTTTGAATAAATCAAGATTTAAAAAATTTTCAAAATTGTAAGACATTTAAATCTTGATTTATTCAAAAAATTATAAGAATCGTTATGAAGAAAAATTGAGAACTTAGAGAGAGGGTCAAAGTTGCTATTTGTCACTTTTCCACAAGAATATAATGGGGAAAAAGTTATCATATAGTTGATCTCATTCACTGAGGTGAGAGATGCATGTAGTGTAATGTGATAAACAGTGGGATTGCTGCTCTAAGTCCTAGGTTCGAGACACCTTGGCTTCATTTTTCTCTTTTTTATTGACGTAAACTATTCAATTTTTGTGTTCTCCATTCAGATTTCAGAATTTTTTTTGCAGATTTCACGCTACATTCAAAAAAAAAAAGGTATTGGGGCTTCCAGGCACTTCGTGCCCTCTAGCCCCGAAGATGTTTAGTATAAAACCGCTTTTTAACTTCACTTAAATGCCACGTAAGCTACGTAAGAATATACGTAAGAGGAAGAGAGCATTGAAACATCCAATAGTAAGACTGACACCACAACAACAGTTGCAACAACAAATGCTGAATGACCCCACTATGTTGCAACAAATGTCAAGCAATCCTATGCTTTTAAACCGAGTTCTTGGTGCACAGAGTGGAGGTTTAAGAGCGGCACTTTTAGCGAAAATGGCAGGCTATGGTGGAGCTGCAGACGGAACAGCATATAACCCTCAAAGTCAAATGAATTTGAGTTCACTCAAAAATCAAATAGCAGATGTCAAAAAGTCAAACATAGACATACAGAAGCAAATAGGTGAAAACGAAAAGAAACTAGAATATGACAGACACACAAAGAAACTCAATGAGTTAAACGTAGAGAAAAAGAAGAAAGAAGAACAACTGAAAGAACTAAGTACAGAGGAATATGCGAAAAAAGTGTCAGAAAAAGCAGCAGAAGTAGCAAAAATGGAACAAGATGTTGTAAATTTGAAAAACCATACTACTCGATATAAAGTACTGAAAGATGAAGAGATAAAACAAAAAGCCCTGAAGACATATATGGATAGCGATGAGTATAAAAAAGAAGTTGAAGCAAATGTAAAGGCAGAAAAACTTTTACAGTTGCAAAACCAAACCGTACAGTATGAAAACTTAGCACAAGAAAGTAAAAATAACGACGCAGCCATGCAAAAGGCAATGAAAAGCGCAGAATATATAAAAGCTAACAATGACTGGTTAGATGCCCAAGCCAACGCTAAAGCAGCCCAGCTTATAGGGTCAATAAGGACAAAAATACAAGCGGATGAAGACAGTTCAAATGAAGCTTTAACGAATGCTGACTTTAAGAACGCCTTCGAAGCTCTTCATAGTAAGGTGAAACAAGTGAACGACTTCTCATCTGGAAAGAAACTGAAGTCTGAAGGTTTCGACAAAGAGTTAAAAGAAGTAGCACAAAATATGACGAAAATAACAGATGCAGCAACGAGACAGGCAGTTCAAAGTGCCTATGACGCCGTTAGAGCAACTGTTGTGAAAAGTCAAGAAAAAGAGTTACAACAGACCAAAACAGACCTAGTAAATGCTTTCTTAAGAACGAAAAGTCAGGTAGGACATTACGCTGCAGATGGAACATATGTGCCAGCTGGTGGAACTTATATACCACCAAACCCTCCAAGAGAAGCACCTGCACCAGGACTACCTAGAACATTTACATCGTCACATGGACACAAACACAGGCATGCACCAAAACCAACACAACAACCAACACAACAACCAGCACAACAACCACCTCCACAACCAGCACAACAACCAACACAACAACCAGCACAGCAACCAACAGTTCAAAACCCTGCACAACAACAACCACAAACAGAGCAAGGACATAAAAGAAGTAGAGAACAAGGAAACCAAGAATTCTTAAAAATGCTTAAAGAAGAGTGTGGTTTCCCAGATAGTATTGACTTTAGTGACAGATATAAAGAAGCTATTGGAAAGTTCAAGGATGGAAATACTGACCCGAACCTATTTAGCTTTATGGCTCAGCACCAAAACGGATATAATCTCAAACCTGGAAAATACAAGCTCGCTAAGGGATATGATTTAATAGCATATCATCCAAATGACATGGATGAATTTACTCCGAGATATTTGATGTCAGAGCTAAATGACAATTCAACTTTCGTCATGAAACGCGTAAAAAATAGAGACGGAACGAAAGAACAAAAGCTTATGAATGCGGATGACGTAGATAGGGAAATTGTTGAAAACGGTCTCGGAATATATGAAATGCCAGCAGATGAGGTACAAGAAACTCCACAGGAAGAAGTTCAGATACAACCAGACATGGAAGAAATAGTTCAGCAACAACAGCTAGAAGAGCCTGAAGGAAACGAACAAGTCACTCCTTTGGAAACTAACTTCACAGAACTAGATGAAGATTTGGAACAGCCGAAAAATCTTGACCCTCAACAAGAGTATGCGGAGAATATGGAATATTTCCAAGAGTCTAAAAAAAATTCGGCTGACATAGTAGAAGAATATCGAAAAATGTTTGCCGACATACAAAAGACTCCAACACCAGATGAAAATATTCAGCATAGAATGGAAGTACTGAAAGAAAATGTACACAAATACAACAACCCTTTTTACTTACGAGCATTTAACGTTCAATCTTCGGATGAACTCGGTGAAAATAAAAGGTTAAATTTCAAGAAAACATATAGAAATGAAACATTGTTTAAAGTTCATTCAGAACCTAACCAAGATGGAAACAAACCTACTTTTGTTTCTGCAGACGATGGAACTACAATGAGATGGGGTCATAAAGCTAATCCGGATAGGTGGTTCATAAACTTACAACCACAATTCCAAGAAGTTGTAGACGCAATGGAATTGAATGGTGAACGAGATATAGCTGGTATTTTAAGCGCGGCTTTAATGCCATTGAAAGATATGAAACATGCAGATATTTTGGACCAGTATGAAATGAACATGGCTGATGGAAATATAACACCTGACGTTCTAGAACATTTATCTCAAAGAACTACACAGAACCATAGAGATGGTATATTTGGTGAAGAGTTTAGAAAGAAAGTTAGGGAGGGAGAAGGAAGAGAACCTATTGTACATGACCTTGCAAACGAAAGTTTACAAAATGTCATAAAAACTTACTTTGCAGACAATGAACCGAGAAGGGATGAATATTTAAGAAAACTCAATTGGACAGTACCAAATGAAATGTTAGTATTGAAAAACATGTTCCTTGACAAAATAAAACCAACTACAGAAATAAACGACGCAAGACTGAAAGATTGGGTAAAAGCTTTCCCATTCACAAAAGATATAGTTGGTAACATGGAAAGAAAACCAGAATGGCTACAAAAACATATATTTGGAAACGAGCATATTCCATATGGACAGGCACTGTTTGAAGAGCTTGAACCGGAAACTCAGGAAAGAGTCATGCAAACAATACGCGAAGACTCAAATACAGACTATGACAAACTCTTTCTAGGATATAGGTTACCTGAGATGGGCGACCAGAGCCAAAAGGCAAAAAGGACATGGGAAATTTGCAACATACTAGATGAACATAATGCAAAGATGCAACAACTTCAAGCAGAGGGCAAGTTACCAAAGCGACACCAAAGAAGAAGAGTAGAACAAAGTGAAAGTAGTGAAGAAGTAACTTCATCTAGTGAAAGTAGTGGCAATGAAGGAAAAAGAAGAGTTAAAAACTCAGTCAGGAAGAAAGTAAAGCTTGGTCGGAGTGGGTTCTATTATGACATATAAATCCAACTATTCTATATTTTTACCCATATGAAATGTACGCCGCTCAGAATATAACGCCAACAGTTTTGGATGCCATGAATGGAAATGTTTCCGAATGGTATAACGAATGCGACAATGCCATTAGAAGGTCAGAAATAGTTCCTGGAACTTACGAATATACAACTGCTGTTTCTTATGGAAACGTAGGTGAGTTTGGAGAAGGTTCTTCAACAACAGTAGATATTGCTTGCGACAGGTTTCATATAATTTCTATTGACAACTCTTTCTTATACGTGGAACAAGACATTGAAATAAAACCTTCTGCCAAGTTGTCTGACAAGAAAGGTTGCAATGGAATTTTCTATGTCGGATACCAATATGCTCCAGAAGTTTTCATGGGATATAAGATATATTCTAACTCTGATTTAGTTCAAACAGTAACATGGGCAAACTATGAATGGTTCGCTTTGAGAAACTCAGTACAACCACAAGCTAGAGAAACAAACAGACCAGTATGCAACTATTGAGAAAATAAGAAGACTTGACCCTAACGTTCCAGGAGTTTATGTTAACCTTTCTGGACAAACTGCAGCAGCAGTAACCAAAGTAAAACTGAAACTAGAGTTCCTTTGTCATCTTTCCTCATCTTCAGGTTTTTAAGATACTTACCAAACTGGGCAGGAAAAATTTCTATCGAACTTACTCCAAGCAAAAAATAACTTAGTCATGCACCAACACAAGACCCATTCACTCTTACAGACGTAAAGGGAGCAAATCAAAACGTCATTCGCCGAATTTTGCAAAGACAAAGTTGACTTAGACTTTGGTTTCTCAAACTTCAACACTGAAGTAAACTATTATTTCAATGCTGCTGGAACTGCTTGGGACCCAGTTAAGTTCACATGCGAAAAGTTTGAATGCAAGAGAATAGAAAGCAGACTTGCAGTCTATATGTTGGACCCAGATATTTCAAATGCTTTAGCTGCCAAATATATTGCAGTTCCGCTTATGTTCCCTATACACCAAATATCTGTCAAAGACTTTGCAGGTGAAGTTGGAAACCAAAGTGCTGACCCAGGTGCAAGAACAGATATTGCTTTAACAACTGCAATGAAACATGCAGATACTATGTTTGTACTGTTCAGACGAACTATAAATGACTATTCTTGTTTCTACAACCCCGGTATTAAATATCATATAAACATAGATGGCAAATACTATCCAAGAGAAGAATATTTACAGTTGAGGATATGAGGTCATACAACTTGACATTAGATGCTATGAACTTTAACAACAACTTCACAACAACCATTAACCCTGAAATGCAAAGTTCTATTATGCCATATGTGAAAGTATGGACACCATACAGGAGCTCAAAAACACTCAATATACAAATGGAGACCGTTCAAACTTTTGGCTTGGCATTCCATTTGCTGACTCAGAAGACTTTATGGGTGGTATTTCAACTGTTGGTACAGTTCAAATACAATATACTGGTGACAGAGACGGTCCAAATGAATTGAAAGCAAAGAAGTTTACAAAAACCAATAGCACTTTTCACGGAAGATGCTCTTTTGAAGATTCGTTCGATGAAACCTGCTGGGGCTCCTCAGATTGGTATAACGACAGCTTCCATCGAGCAGATTTTGGCAGCAGGTCAGTAAGTTGTTCTTGAACTGACTTCTCTCCGTCAAATATTGACAGTACGCCAGTTTTGATATAATATTGTATTATAAACTTTCCTTTAGAAATATCGGTCAGTTTTGTTGTTATATTTTTGTCTGCTTCAAGAACTTTCACCATCTCGGTTATACCAACTTTCTTTGCTTTATGAAAATATTTTGGTTCAGCAAAGACTGCTATTCTATAACATTTTCCATTGTTTGTGTAAAGAACTACTCTGTCAATGAACTTGTATTGTTTGTGTGTGTAAACTTTGTTTTGCTTCAATTCGAAGAGATACTCAAATACGTCCATCTTTTTATTCTAAGTAAAATGTCATTTCCGAAAAATAGAAGCGTAAGTGTTTCAAAAGGTTTAATGGCGGTGGCAGATGTGAAGTTAAATTCACCAACTCAAACAAACAGTCAAAGTGTTATTGTCAATGTCAAAGAAAGAGATGTTGAAATGGGGAAACCATACGAAGACGAAGATGGTATAACAATAGTTCCTGTAAAAGAACCAACATACCCTGAAGTTAGCAGAGACTTAAGTTCTGTTGCAGATATTCGAAACGACTACCAACAACTTAAAGACAAACTTAAAACTCAGGAGAAGATTTGTCAGGCTTTGGGTATAATGTTAAACTTGGTTGAGCACAACCCTGTAAAAGTGAACTCATATGTCATCGCACCTCATGAAATTTTGAAAGAACTATTGAAACTTTTGACAGAGGCAGACGATATAAACATCAAAGAAATAGAACCCGACATTGCTTGCTTGTGTGTGTTTCATACAATGTCATTGACAAGATATACGTTATGAAAGGAGGTGAAACGTTGAACTTAAAATATAGTTTCCCAGACGTCATAAAAATATTTGACGACCACAACATTTCATTAAAATTTACTTGCTAAGTAAAAATGTCAAAACTTCTTGAAAGATGTTTGAAGAAAAACAATATAGACTTATATTTCATGTAAAGGACTTTACACACTTTTGAACGATATGAAAGACCCTGTTTTGTTTGTTCGTGTAGACAAAGGAAAGTTCTATGTCTTTACAAAATTTTGAACTTCTTAGACAGAGAACTTCAAGAAACGCCATGTGAAAGTTTAGATGAAGTTCTTCTCCACTTTCAGAAAAACTTTTAAATATATGTAAATGGCAGAAGACATAGTGGTTTATACTATTACGACTAAAAACCCTGAGTCATATAATTCTATAACAACAAACTTACAAAGTCCTCAAGGACGATATTGTAAACTAACTTTAAACACGATGACGACTAAAGCCTGTTTTGCTCTTTTGACACCAGAAGATTTTATTGTTGTGAATGGTAAAAAATACTCCTTTGAAGATACTTACTCAGATATACCACCAACAGGTTTTGTTGACTTATTTAATACTTTAAGGACGGATGTAACATGTGCTGCAACTAGAGCAGGTTTCATTATGTTTGGATGTCCGACTGAGTTTAGTATAAACGATATGAGCTATAATACAAAACTTATATCTGGTTTTTACTACCAACAATTTCCTATAACAGGAAAAGGTGTCATACAAGGAATGTCTGTTCCATTGACTTTAAGTACACCTATTTTATATATTGTTTCAAACTTAGGTTCAAAGTGCTATTCGAATGTCGACAGAAACTACTATGACCAAAAGATACTCATGCGTATAAACAACACTTTCTCTGCTGGTTTGCCTATTGTTCATTCGAATGCAGAGTTTTCAGCTTTAGTAAACTCAAACACTTTAGCAAACATAAACTTAACCTTAGTTGACGCAAACTTTGTTCCTGTAAAACTTTTATGTCCTATGTATTTGTCAATGACGGCAGAAAGTTTCGAATTGGAAGATGCAACTGGTGAAAGTATTGTATTACAAGAACAACTTCAACAACAAATAGCTCAAGAACAACAAATGCAACAAATGGAACAAATGCAACAACAAGCTCAAGAATAAAAAAATATTTTTTTATTCTTATAAAAATGTACAGAATAGACGTTTCAGATTTTTATGACTTCCAAGCCTTCAGAAATATGTGTCCATTTCGAGACTATAACAAAGCAGTCGAGAATTTGAAACGTTTAGTCATTTATGTTGACTCTGCCCCAGAATGTTATGTCATGAAAGAATGGGATGTTGTCTTTAACAAACCAAGAGCGACAATAGTTTCAGAACAAGAATGTAAACAGAAACTTAAGAAAATAAAAGTCGTACAAGTTGGCATGAAGATGTTAGATGCTTGGGATATCTTATTGTCAAAGTTAGAAGATTTTTCAGTTCGTGTATAAAGTTCTATACACCATCTCCAAACTTCTATTCTATCTTCACTGGATATAAATACGAACAAGTAGAATGGAAAGAAAATGTTATAGAAGCTTGGTTAGACCATGTCAAAGAAATTATATGCAATGGAAACGAAAGAGTCTATGAGTATATCTTATGTTGGTTTGCAAACATCTTACAACATCCAAGTGCTAAAAATGAAACTGCTCTCATCATAATTGGAAAACAAGGAACAGGTAAGAACACTTTCTTTACAGATATCTTATGCAAACTGTTAGAGGGCTATTCGAACCCGAATATGACAAACTTAGAAAACATCTGCGGTAAATTTAACTCTTCAATAGAGAATATGAAACTTATAGTATGTAACGAACTTCAAAGTATAGATACAACAAAGGTTTTAAACTCAGATGCTTTGAAGAGTCTTATAACAGACAAAGTTGGAGTTGTTGAAAGAAAATATAAAGACCAAAGAGTTTGTGAAAATGTTGCAAACTTCGTCATGGTTTCAAACAATGCTGTTCCGATGAAGTTAGAAAGTTCTGACAGAAGATATGTAGTTGTCAGAACGTCAGATTCTCATATGCAAGATACAGAATATTTTGACGACTTAGCAGAAACTTTGACATCTGACTTTTACAACCACTTGTTCTCATATTTCATGACATTAGATATTTCAAAGTTCAATCCAAGACAAATTCCACATACCGAAGAGAGACAAACATTGTTAGAAGCAAACAAGAGTGTATATGAACTGTTTATAGATGAGACTAACTTTGAGTGTTTAGATGAAAGGTCATTGTACGACTCGTATAAACAGTATTGTCAAGAATATGGTTATATGGCAGCTTCTAAACGTACATTCTTGGCAAATGTCAAAAATCTTTTAGACGTACAGAATGGTGTATATACAAAGAAAAATTTTTCTGAGTAAATTTTAAAAAAAAATATTTTTTTATTTTATTTGAAATGTACGCTGAGTTTGTTGGAAAAGACCGTTGGGAAACTTGTTTGTTAGATGAGAAATATGAAATTCACTGTTGTGAGTCATTTGAAGTCAGAAACAAAGAGACAAAAAGAGTTTTAAGCGGATGGGAGGGAAATAAAGGATATGCTATTATGAGGATGAGTGGGAAACGCTATTTTAAACATGTTGTCATTGCAACTCATTTTATACCGAACCCTAACAATTTACCTTTTGTAGACATATAAACCGTATAAGAAACGACATAGACTTGAGAACTTACGTTGGGTTACTCGTTTGAAAACAATAAGAACAGAGGCAAATTTGGAGATATAGTATTCGAATTTGTCGACGAACTAGAAGATGAAGCAATTGAAATTACAGACTATGGTAAGCATACGTTTGAGTTTTACTACTATAGCGAAGAACAAGACTCTTTCTACTTTTATACCGGTGTAAACTATAGAAAATTACAAGTATATTTTACTAAGGCGGACTATGCTTATGTAAACGCTAGAGATACAGATGGAAAATACGTTCAAATACTTCTTAACAAATTCAAGAAGCTATATGGCATACCATTTTAAAACGTTTTTTAAAAAAATATTTTTTTTATCCGATAGAAAAGATGACAAAATTCATCTCAGTCAACAAGTACATGTCAGGACTTAAAGAAGAACTAGACCCATTCACATATTTGAATGTTTACTTCTACATTTTGAAAAGTCTATTTGACAAAGTTTGGAACATCGAACCAGTTAAGTTTGCTATTGTGACTAAAAATGGTGCGAAATTTGAAGACTTAGACATAGAAGGTTTGTTAACAGTCAAAGAAAGTTTTGACAGAAGGTTTTCAAACCTTAAAGAAGGCAAAGCATACAAATTTGTTATACCTTATGAAAAAGAAAGCAGACGACTATGATATTATGAGTCTAAGATAGTTGAAGTTCAAGGTAAATTGGGTAAAAAGATTTTAGAGTCTAAGCCAGTGTTTGCTCCTAAAGAGGAAGAGAACATTGACATTGACCCAGAAATGTTCTAAAAATAAATTTTATTTTTACATGTCAAATTTCTTTTTCTCTGGCTCTGGTTCTTTCTTCTCTTCTTCTACTTTCTTTTCTTTCTTTTCTCTCTCTTCTTTTCTGGTGGAGTTATGTCAAACTTCTCAGAACCATATTTTTGTAAAAGTTCTTTGTCCTTTAATAGCTCTTCTATCTGTTTCTATTTCATTTCAAGAACAGCGCATGTGTCTTCTTTGCATTCTAAGAAGTTTTGTTGGACTTCATCTCTCCAAGAGGCGTCATCTCTGTCAACAAGTCTGTCATTGACAAATTTTAAGACTTCTCTGCTTAAGGTTTTATGGTTCTTGTCATATTCCCAGAAACAGAACTTTAGAACAAATTCACCTTTCTTGTTTACACTATGTAAGATTTTATGGTCGACAGATGTTTTGCTGTCGAAAAGCTTGTCTCGAATATAGATAGCGAAATCGCTAGACATTTCCTAAAAGATAAAAATTTTAATTTTTCTAAAAATATGTTAGAAAAAAGTTTGCTGACATTGACAAGAAATTTGAGAATGTTTTAAACAAGAACAAGAGGAAGTTGGAAAATGCTCAGATAAAACCCATACATGACAAGTTCTTATTTGCTCAGAATGGTATAACAGGTCTAATTGCACCGCCTGGGTCGGGTAAGACTTTCACTTATCTTAAAATGGCTGCACAACAACAAGAACTAGATGAGAAGAACCCATTCTATGAGTTAGTTGTCATTTGTAGTACTTCGGGTCAATTCGACCAAACAGTCAATTCGTTCAAAGATATTATAAAAAAGTCTAAGTTAGTATGTATAAAAGACTCTGAGTTGTTAGATTGGATAAAGAAGTACCAAAGAAGAGTTTTGAAGTACAATGCTATAAATGAGTATGTCAATTCTAAGTTTAAAGACCCAAATGAGGAAATGCAGAGAATATTAGAGAAGAAACACTTCAGAAACAAACAGAAAGAGATAGAATACATTTCGAAGAAATTGCAATCTTACGATTGGAAGACTTACCCTCATAGATGTCTTCTTATCTTAGATGATTTCGCCTCTCATCCTTTGTTAAAGAATAGAGAACAAGACATGTGTCGAATTCTTAAGAAGCTCAGACACTTTAACATCTCAGTTGTCATTTGTGTACAGACAGCCAAGAGTTTAAGTAAGGATGTAAAGAGAATACTTACTGATATCATACTTTTCCCCGGATTGTCCGAAGACGATTTCATGGAACTTATGAAAGAGTCCATGGCAGGTAAGTTTGACAGACATGAACTATGGGGGAGGTACAAAGTCATACAAGACCCTCATACTTCTTTCAGAATTCACATCTACGCAAACAAAGTTCAAATTGTAAAAAGTCAAGCGTAAAAATGTAAGTGTTTGAGTCTTAGTCTGTTGTGGTGCTGGGGCTTTCGGTTCTTCTGGCTTTGGAATGGACTCGGTTGGTGGTACGTCAGCCATTCGTTTGTGTCCTGTCGGATGGAAGGACTCGGAATGCCAGAAGGAAGGACTCTTCCTGTCGGAAAGAAAAACTTTTCCTGTCGGAAAGAAAAACTTTTCCTGTCGGAAAGAAAAACTTTTCCTGTCGGAAAGAAAAATTTTTCCTGTCGGAAAGAAAAATTTTTCCTGTCGGAAAGAAAAATTTTTCCTGAAGGTCGGCCAAAAAGTTCTCAATTTTCGAAAATTTGAATGGTTTACGGACGGACAACTGGAAAAATTTTTCCTGTAGGAAGGAAAATTTTTTCCTGTAGGAAGGAAAATTTTTTCCTGTAGGAAGGAAAATTTTTTCCTGTTGGAAGGAAAAACTTTTCCTGTAGGAAGGAAAATTTTTTCCTGTAGGAAGGAAGGACTCGGAATGCCAGAAGGAAGGACTCGGAATGCCAGAAGGACTCGGACAAGACAATTTACCATCTAGAGCTACCTGAGCCATCTTTGGTGTCAAGCTTGAAAAATAAATGGTTCATTTACTCTTCTTCTTTGAAGTTGTCAAAATACTCTGTTATCTTTTCCTTCAGTAGCGGTAAATCTTCTTTGAATGTAAGTATTGTACAACCTTTCATATCATAGTGTGTTTGAGGTAACGTATCTTGAACTATCTGTTTAACATCTTCATTTGGTGTCATTGAAATCGGTAAGTTTTCGCGATAGAACCAATTTCTGTCAGATTTGTAAATCTTAGCAAGGTCGTAAAAGCTTTTGTTGTTTCTTCTGACTAAATGCAACATAACCATATCTCTGTCTTCTTCATTTTCCATCTCTTCAGTGTAAATCATATACTTATAGTTCTTTTCCTTTCCTTTTGGTACCGAACGTGGTATTCTTTTCTGTATGTTTTTGTCTTTTGCTTCAATGACTTCATCTTTTGCTTGAAGTTTCTTTTCCATCTCTTCACGTTCTTGTCTATGAATTTCATCTAACATCATGAAAATATAACAAGCATAGCGAGGTGAAGCCCACATTGCAAAGCATTTACAAGAAGTCTATGTACATAATATCCTTTCAAACCATTTGGCAAATTTTTACGATTTTCGTACGGAATCTCGTTCCTCGGTTTTTCGAGGGACGCAAACATATGAGGAAATTCTTCTAAAAGTTCTTTTGTCTGTTGGTTTTCAAACCAATGATATGCTTGCTTTGTAGAACGAAGAGCATTCAAAATACTTTGCATTTGGTACATGTCATCTTTGACCGAACGAATGAGACGTAACTGTTTGTTATACTGTATGTACTCGTATTCTTCATTTATATCTTCATGAACGATAGCAGTTGTTGTGTTCTCTGATGTTGACATTACTGTCTTTACATACAAAATAAAAAAATAAAAAAAAATAAAATTAGCGTTATTTTCTATCTTGTATAAAAGACCAAAAATAAACGCTTTACATGTATTTTTCAGCAACTTCGTCAAATACTTTTATAGCTTTGTCGATCTCATCTACTTCAAACGTTTCTTTACCTTTCGTGGAGCACCATAACATTTTCTCAAACTTTTCAAGTAGTTCTGTTTCAGCAGCTCTCATATCATTTACAAACACAACCTTAACTCTATTGACTGTAGAGTCATATCTTTGAGTTATATTATATGTTCTTCCTATCTTATATCTCTTTGTATTGAAGTCCTTCGGTTTCTGAACGATGTAAAGTAAGCCCTCACTGCAACGTTCAGTATCGAATGAACCATATGTTATGAAATTATATCCAACAACTGGGTCAATCCAGAACAAAACTACTGGTATAAGACTTTTGTCGATGAGATATGCTGTAGTTCCATGAAATCTTACTGATATCATCAGCTCAGGATTTCTTGTCAAAATTTTCTGAGTAGAAGCAATTCTAACCCAGTCCTTTGTTTTCTTACCAGATGGAGATATAATGTCTGACAAAGAATATTTTTTGTATTTCTTTGAGTATCTTACGTTTAAATCACCAATTCTAACCACCTTGGTGTCATTGTCTATCTTTTTAACTGTTTCAAACTCAGTGTTTGTCATTTCCTGTTCTTACATACAAAATAAAAAAAAATATTTTAAAAAAACTAGCGTTAATTTTATTTTTTCTATCTTGTATAAAAGATATGATTTCAGGGATTTTTTTGACGATTTTCATGAGTTTTAGGCGACCCCTGTAAAAGTCGGGGTAGCATTTTTTCACTGTTTTCATAGAGTTTTTTTACGATTTTCATGAGTTTTAGGCGAGTAAGATTTCTTACGTACTCGCAATTTTTCACGATTTTCATGAGTTTTAGGCGAGTGGTTTTTTTTTACTACTCGCATTTTTTCACTGTTTTCATAGAGTTTTTTTACGATTTTCGTACGGAATCTCTATCCTCGGTTTTCCTTGGGTAGCAAACATATGAGGAAATTCATGAAATTTGGTCATTTTTTCACGATTTCAGGGATTTTTTTTATGAAGTGTCAAAGTTCACTTCGTCACTCATAACAGTTATATAATGAAATTTGGTCATTTTACTCAGCAAAAATATATTTTAGGTGAAGAGGTGAGATCTCACCTGTTTTCTCACCTCTTTTCTCACCTCTTTTTCACAAGCGTTTTACATGAATTGTACGATGTATATTTGAAATCCTAAACAGTTTTGTAGCTTCTATTTCTTCTGTCAGTATGTCAAAAGTTTTAACAATGCCGAATGTTTCTTTATATTTCTTCTTGACATCAGATAGAAGGAAATCGTCAGCTGTTGGATAGTTTTTGTTTAGAAATGTCAACATGTCCATTTTATCTTCTGCTGGTTTCTCTACTTCTTTCTTTAAATCTGCATAGTCGTTTCGCATACGTTCTATCTCTTTGACGGAGTAGTTATATTTCCTCATTGCTGCTTTACATTTTGAACATTGTGGGTTCATTTTAGCATTGTACATTGAAATAAAACCTGCAAGTACAACTAAGGCGTCAATGGTTTTCTTTAACTCAAAGGTTGCTGGTTTTATCTGTTCATTCCATACCTTACCTCTTCTATCTTTATCTCTTATCTGCCATACACATTTTGCAACTAACGAAACAAAGTTGTCGTAGGTCTTAAATTCTTCAGATTTGTATATGTCAGAAACATTTTTATATACCATATCGCAGTCTTTGTCCATGACTTTGTGGTTGCAATGAAATCCAAGAAACTCATAGTTTACCTTACGTATGAACTTCTTGGTTTCTACTGAGTCAGTTGGTTTCACTTCTATTTCATCGAATTCTGGAATAGTAAGCTTTTGTTGTTGTATTTCAGGAAGTTTAGGTAGATGGTCAATAATATCCTGCATTTCATAAAGATATTCTTCATTTGTTTCATCTTTTGCACTACAGTCTAAAACTCCTTGGAGAAGTTCTTGCTTTATCTTCTGGATTTCTGTTTCGAAAGTATATGAAGAAGGAATGAAGCTTTTCATCTCTACTAACATTGAAGTTGGGTTCATGACTAACGAGTTTGGTGCTGTTGTTGCTAACATGTTCTTACAATAAAAATAAAAAATATTTTTTAAAAAAACTAACTTTATTTTTATGTTTTTTTATGAAAGTGTCAAAACTCATGAATTTCGAGAGTTTTCTACGATGTTAGAAAAGTGGTTAGAAAACGTGTTAGATCTAACATGCTAACATAAAATATATTTTTGCCGAAAAAAATGAGTTTTGGTTGAAAAAACAGGTGGAGCCAAAAGTGGCTCGACCTCAAAACAAGCATTTTGTGAAGAATATACCAACCGCCAGAATGTCGACGGTTGCTTTTTATACAAAATTCAACAGGTGAAAAAAGAGGTGAGAAAAGAGGTGAGATCTAACATGCTAACATAAAATATATTTTTCAATACTTTTTCAGCACAAAACATATACGATGAAATCTATCTCCTGTGTTGTTGTCTAAATGTCATGTTGTCACACTTTTTCAGAGAAGTTAAAATGACCGAGGGACCGAGGGACCGAGGGACCTGGTGACGTAGTGACACCTAAAACCATCTAACCTAAACATCTCATTTTTCAATACTTTTTCAGCACTTTTCCGTAGTTGTATATGAAAGACAATTCGAGATAAAAGTCATAGTACAATGGAATAATATGCTGCAGACCGTTTGTTGTGAACCAAACTTGAAAGTCAGAGAAACTGTTTAGGTGGTTCGTAGAATTTAGAAGCAAAGTCATAAAAGTCCTTACCGATACATAGAAAACTGTTGTTGCTTGAACTGAAACTTGCATGACACATGACATTTTGAGGGTCAAACACGTTTTTATAAACTGTCAAATCTGCTGGTGGGAGTATAAATTTAAACGAACCATCTGGTGGTAAGGGTTCGTTCTGGTTTAGTAACCGAAGAAATTGCGCCCAAGAACGTTTGTCTACTCCCCAATATAAAAACTCTGTATCTCTTGGAGGGTTAATTTCAATCTTTTGAAATGAAACTGTGGAGTTCATCTTGTCGTATTCTAGTTTTAGATAGTATGTTCCATTTAGTAAAGAGTGGTATTTTTCTTGAAATTCCCAGTAGTATTTGTTTATTTGAGTTTGAAAGTCATTTAGAGTCTTCTCAAGACTTTCGTCTGAACGAACTGTAAAGATTTTCATTTCGTCAAATTTTTCTATTAGACCATCAGAGCCTTTATACTGACCGTGAAAATATACTGCGAACATGAATGCATTAGTTCTATTTGAAAACAAAACTCTTCTAAATCCTATTGCCTTTGCATCTGAAGGACTTTGAAGCCAACGAACTGGATAGTCAAACCTGTAAGCTCCGGATGAAATTTCTTCATCTGATATAGTCCTGCCAGCGTTTGTAAAGATATAGTCTAACGGTTTTGTATCTGCTACTTTTGTTCTTTGTTTTTCAACCTGAAGCATTTTATATATGTAAAAATATACTGTTTTAAAAATGTTTTACTTCATGCAATGTTTTATTTCATGCAATGTTTAACTATTTCACCATCTTCTTTAACACCCCAGTACTTACGCTTGGAGAGGACATGAACTTCGGAAAATACCTTGTCTAGCTTAAAAAGGCCCATCTTTTCACCGACCATTCCCATTTCAATGAGTTTGTTATACCCTTCTTCGTTTGTCATGAGTGCATCGATGTTCTCGTAGTATACCTTCACTTTGGATTTGACATCGGAGAAGAATTTGTTGTAGTTGTCAAGGACTGCCTTTGCGAACTGAGGATAAGACCAATGTTCGACAATAGGTTTTACTGTGGTTACTAAGCCACCTTGACCTTGAGTAAATTCGTATTTCAAAACAAAAGGAGAAAACCTTTCAACAAAGTTGTCGACCTTCTCATAGTGTTTACTCTTCATCTTTTGAGGTTTTTTAATGGAATACCCCCATGTCGAATTCATAAGCAATTTGAGTGTCATTGCAAGTTTGGGGTTTGAAGCTTTCCTAATATCATACAGTTGTTGTATGACTTTTCCAACTGTATAGTTCCTTCCCGGGAACTCACCATCTTCGTTTGGAATTCCAGTCGGGATATATTGGACGAACCTCATGTACGCAGCGTTAAGGTCGACATAGTATATTTTTTCGTATGAGTCGAACTTATCGCAACCAATCGGTCCAGTTCGTGGAAATTCAAGTGAGTCTCTTATCTTTTGAGAAACCTCGCCTGTTATCTCATAAACATCGTCAAAGCAACCTGTTTCATATAAAACCTTCTGACCTAACTCAGAAGCTCTCCAATACAATTTGACGTCAATTGGATGTCTCAATGGAAGTTTGTTTATAGCATCTTGAAGTTCTTGCAACCTCATTGGAAGTTCTTCTGGTTCAGGTTGGTATCCGAACAATCCAACTCCTTTTGGAGCTGTGTACTTCTTTTGTGCTATAACTTTGTCCGGAACAACTTTTGGTCTTACCAATGAAAAGTTTGTTTCGTCTTTTGGTACAAAAGTTTCTGTCAGCTTGTCATCTGGAATTGGTTCCAACAAGCCTTTCTCGAAAAGAATGTTAACAGCTCTGACAATGTTGCACTTACCTTTTCCGAACAATGGGTTTGTAAGACTTTCGTTCAACATGAAGTGGTTGTGGACAAGTACAATCTTCAACCATGGCAATTTGAAGTCAACAACATAGTCGTCATGTGAAGAACCTTTCTCAGTCGGAATGTTAACTCGGATATTCACATTTGCCAACGGTGCAATTTTTGTCAATTGACTTCTGAGAATGTACCTTGTTTTCACACATGACTCAAGATACTTCATCTTCTCATCTGTAACAAGACCAGAGTTCCTGAGACATGTAAGAATACAAGGTTCATTGACAATTGTTTCAATTGAATTGTAAATTCCATACCTTGTTAAGTTAATGTCAGACTTATTTCTGAAGGGGAAGTATCCAGCATGTTGTCTGACTGCTTGAGGGTTAGGTTGGTACCATTCGAACTTCACGCTTGCAATTCCTTCAATTGCATTCAAAATATCTGAGTCGGAGTCAACCATTTGTTCTCTCTTTGTAGTCTTGAAAGCGTCAAGAAGTTGTGCGGCTGTTGTGACATTGCCATGTGCATAGTATATATGACCATCTAAATCTGTTACGGTCAATCTGAGATTGTATCCTTTCTTATTTCCGTCTTGAATTGCAGCAAGTACTCCCATGAAGCCTTCTTTGTTCTTTCCTTCGTCAAAGTTTACTGTAAAGGTTCGACCAGATGTAATTTTACTTCTAACTTCACGGTACTTCTCATATGCATATCTTGTTCTTTCCATGGGAGCATGTGCGTCTTCACCTTTTCCTTTTTTCCTTCTCAAAGGATGCAATTGTTCGTCATGTTTCCAGTAGAATCTGGCAAAGCCGTCGTGTCCTTCAACTTGAGGTTCATTAACATCGAAAGGCATGTCCATAAGCCGTTCTTCTTCTAACCTCTCTAGTCTGTTTGGATAATTTGCGCGTGCTGTTTCTAAGTCCATTTCATAGCGAAGACCAGATAGTTTGTCATAGACTTTTATGGGTCTTCCCTTCCTATATTTAAACTTCTTTGAAACTCTCCAACCATATCTTTCTAACTCTGCTTTTATTCTAGCAGACCTTCTGTCCATTCTATACGGGGGCATTTTTATAAAAATAAAAAAATGTTTTTTTCTTTACTTTACATAACCACCGGCTGCCATAAGTCTTTGACGCCAACCCATACCAGCTAATGAAGGTTGACTTGGTTTAGTATTGAAACTAACCTTTGGTTTTGGTTTATCTTCAGTTTTTGGTTTCTCTTCTTCTATCGGTTTTTCGTCACTTTTCGGTTCCTCTGACTTTACTTCACTTGCAGGTATGGTTGTGTCGTCAACATCTTCATAAATGTCATATGCCATTTGTTTCTGTTTTCCTTTCAACTTTTTGTGTTTGTTGTAAAGTTTAGAATATTTCGACTCTAAGTCAATGAGATGTTCTATAATGAACTGTTGGTCAGTGAAGTATACTTTCCCATCTGTTGTCTCGAAAGCTCCTTCAGACTTCAATATTTTATTTGTGAGAGTCTGTTTCTTTTTTGAGATACTAGCCGTTCCATTTTTATGAAAAGTGACTTTGTAGTTAGAGTTTGTATTTCCAGACCTGGCACTTTCTATTATTGAATTTTTCTCTTCATCTGTAAGTTCTTTGACAGGTTTTGACAATGGTTCTGAACTTTTTGTTTGTGGTGTCAAATCTACCGTTTCAACTTCTTCGGTCATTTCATCTCAGTAAAAAATTTTAGTTTGGTTTGTTTTCAACTGGTTGTTGAGGTTTTTTAAGTCGGTCTAAAACTTCCTGAGGTATAGGAAGAACTTGACAAACACGTGGTTGTGTAACTGCTGGAAGCCGACAAATCCATCTTGAGCCCATTTGTCTCAAAGCTGTATTGTTCATTTCATCTCAGTAAAAAATTTTACATTCCCCACGTTTGAGGCGGTTGAGGTTGGTTGTTGTTTACCCACTGTTGTGCATGGTTATATCCTCTGTTAAAGAATCTTTCACCTTGGTCCATATAGTGTCCTGCTTGGTTATAGTAGTCATTTGCTTTGTTATAGTAGTTTCCTGCTTGTCTTCCTACATTGTCCATCCATCCTTGAACTTTTCCTCTTGTTTCAGGATTTGGAATAAGATTTGCTGCATCTCGTGCTACCTCCCAACCTTTCTGTACAGTTTGTATAATAGGTTGTGCTTTCTCTTTCAGTATACCTAATGTACTCAAAATCTTCCTTCCAATTCCAAATGCACCTCTGGCTAGTGTTCCCACTGCGGGCAAAAATCTAGATGCGACTCCTGCTAATGCGCCAAATAAACCCATTTCTTATGGGTTAAAAATGACGAATTCAAACAAGGACCCGTATGTTTCTAAAGCGACAAAGAAAGCACTCATGGTAAAAATCTTTAGTTCAACACCAAATGCTTGGTTTATGGATATCTTGGAAAACATTCCGAGATATAGAGAAGATGGACCACCATACTGGCTAATATTTGTCGGTCAAAACACAAGATACTGTGAAGCCATACCATTATGGTCCAAAAATATTTTAGATGTGAAAACTGCTTTGACAATATTTGTTGACAAATACCATCCAACAAAACTGACATCTGACTGTGAAAGTTCTTTCAAATCAGACGATATTAAAAACTATCTGCGTTCAAAAAATGTAAACCAATATTTCATTGTCGACCAAAACCATTCTGCTCTTGGTGTCATTGACAGTTGTATAAAAATCTTAAGACTTAAATCAACCACAAGGTGGTGAGGTAGATGAAATGTCATATGACGACAAGTATAGACACTTCTCCATGGCAAAGATGAGACAAGTTTTAAATATTTACAATAGCCGTAAACAAAAAGGTTTGGGAAACCACTCCCCCGAAGAAATGAAAAACAACCCTGACTTAGAGAAAGACTATATATTTAATAGTTTAGTCAAAAGAGACAAACAAGAAAGAATGCCAGGCTTCAAACTTAAGAAAGGTGACAAAGTAAAAATAGAAATACCTAAACGCGACCCATATGAAAATACTATTGACTATGACAACAACAAGTACCCGACAGGTACTCACATTCGTGTTCGTAAAAATAGAAGAAAGTATACAAGAGAATATTATGAAGTTTTAGGCAAACATGGCAAAATGTACAGACTGCAAGCAGAAGATAAAACTACTATTGTCAGACCTCGTTTCAAACTTGTCAAAGTTCAAGGTGGTATACTTTCAAAGACAGTTCCTAACAAATATAAGACAACTCCTGACGAATATGCTAAAGAAGTTGAAAATGACGACTAAGCATTTCTATACCATGCGTAAACTGTCATGTAAGGTGGCATGTAGTCTTTACTTTGTCCCGTTGTTTGCGTATACCCTGAAACGCGATGTGTATGGTCTCCTTCTCTCCAAGTGTCATCCCAGGAACCATTTATAGCAAACTGAACGTCGTCTTTAACATCATATCCTTTACCTTTTGTCATTGTTGACCAACCCCAATATTTATGCCTATGCAAACCTGCTTCAGATGTACTTAAATTTATGTAGTGACTGTGTGCAGGTAAGTTTTCACCTGAAATCGTTTTACTTCCACTGTTTCCTTTGAAGAGTTTGCACAATACAAAAACCTGTCGACTATTTGAGTCCAAGTTCCGAGACCAAGTACTACTTCTGGTCTGGTAGAGTTCATTGACGTGTAAATAGAACCTATAGGATATACTGTTTGAAGTATTTCTGTCTTTAACGTTTGAAGCTCTGTTTTGTCAGCTTTTTTATCATATAAATCTTGAGCAGTGAATTTAACTTTTTTTTCATCCTCCATGACATAGACATTTCTACATCTAATGTCTTTATCCGATGTTAAACCTTCTGGAAAGTTAGGAGGTTTAAAATATAATCCACCCCCACCAGTTTCTTCAATCGTTCCTAAAATACTTTCTATACCAACAGTTGAGAAGAAGTTATGTGTATGTCCAACGTCACTTTTCCTGTTTAAGGTTTCTTGTAAGTTTGTAATATTTGCAATGGTATGTGTATGAGTCTTTTTAGAATATTCTTTGTCAGCTCTTGTCACTTCACTTGACATTTTATTGTCAACATATGTTTTATCCGCTTTGTCTATAGATCCGTATTTTTCCCAAGTGAGCGGGGTATCTCCAATCCCAGCCCTATCGTCCTCCCAGTGTCAGTTTTCAATATAAAATCCAAATTTTTTTTGAAAATAAAAATTTCGAGAAATTTTTCTGATTTTTTTTCTTTGATTTCAATAATTCAAAATAAATTTTGGAGTAAAAAGACACTATTTAATGAAATTCATATGAGTGAATGTGGATAAATACTCTCAAAACATACAATTTATCTATTTTTTCTTTATATTATCAACTAATTAGTGATAATTTTTTTTGAATCAGATTTTTTTTTCATTAAAAACATAATATATAACACAACAATGATGCACACATACGTATCTACACATCAAAATATAAAGCTTGTTTTGGTCTGGGCATCCCAACCCAAAATTCTTAAAAAATTGAATAAAATTGAATACTTGGGGCTGGGATACCCATCCCAAAACCGAATTGAATTTTTTGAATTAAAGAATATATTTATGTATTTATAATATACATGTGATGTCTATAAAAATACTAAATTCTAAAAAAAATTCAATTTATTCAAAACGTATACTAAGTGATCACTTCATTAGTAGGATCAGCAATCCTACTAAATGGTGAGAACGCCACTAACTCAAAAGGGAGTCCTTGGAGCTCTTGATCTCTTGTCAGTAGAGTTCATAATGAGGCATGGCATCTACTGATTAGAGATCAGAGCAATCCTACCTTACCTTCAGGAGCTACAAAGCTCCTAATCGTTACGAGAGGGAGCCTTGGAGCTCCTGAAGCTCATCAGCAGAGGCTATTTACCATTTGGGCCTCTTCTGATGAAAGATGCGAAACACGTCTACGAACCAGGAGCTTCAAAACTTCTAATCCTTACTAAAGGGAGCTTTGGAGCTCCTGAGTCTCCATCAACAAAGTCCCAGATGGTAAATGTCCTTTGCTGATGAAGATGCGAAACACATCTACGAACCAGGAGCTCCAAAGCTCCTAATCCTTACGAAAGGGAGCTTTGGAGCTCCTGAAACTCCTTTTACTATAAAATAGGACAGTTTTCTTCTGAGGTTCTCATCAAATCTAAGACTTCAGAAGAAAGCTGTCCTATCAATGTATACTTACACTCTCATGGACTACAAGTGTACAATTTTAAGGCAGAGATTATCCGAGGCCTCTCATCAAATGAGGGACCTCGGATAATCTCTACCTTAAGTAGTCAAATAACTTTTCTCACTATTTAGGAACAAAAGAACAAGAGTTGGAGTACTTTAAGGCAAGATTCTTCCGAAATCTCTCTTCGAATGAGAGACTTCGGAAGGACCTTGCCAAATCCTTGAACGCCAATATCCTTGGAACTGAGCTAGAACCAGGGAGAAGTAGCATACTATAGAGCACGATGGTAATCTCGGAAATGCTTATATCGCCCCAAGCACAATATTTAAGAAGTCTAACTCATATATCAAGAAGTCAGGCTGAATAGATATTGTGCATATGGTTTGCAGAACTCTCATGATATTTAAAATTCATGTTATCCTAAAAAGGTGACACTTTGGGTGTATCGTCCATCCCAGGGATGCAAAAATCACATCACCTTGGATCTATACTTTGTCATCTAACATTGCTGGTAGTTCATCTACGTCATAGATGTTATGTGTATGATGTTTTTGTGGGTATGTTCTATCTGTCCATGCGAAAATATAGTCTCTTGTTGCATCTACATACTCTTTGTCAGCTTTGTTGTCAATATCTGCCTTCAAAAGAAGTTCATCTATAGGTTTCTCGTTTAAAGTTCTTTTTGTTGGATTTATACAAACAGTATGGTTCTTGTTGTCTTGAAACAGAAACTCGTCTGTTAAAGGGTTTAATGTCAGTTTTAAGTTTCCTTCTTTCAATGACTCAGATATCTTAGAATAGTTTGAAAAGTTTGTTGTGTTCTTATTTAGAGCTTGTACAATGAGTTGTCGGTTGTGTTGTATTTCTCTCATAGACGCTGTTTCTTTCGACATTTTTATTCTAGATAAAAAATGCTTTCAATAGAAAAAGAAAATTCAAGAGTTGCTACAACTAAACCATTAGATGAACTTTTTACGAATGTAGGTCAAAAGTTTGAGACAGATACCGTAAAGCATGAAGGCTATCGTTTTGACTACCCATTGAGATGGCTAAGAGACCCATCCGTCACAAAAGCTGTTGGCTTTCGTAGAATGAAGTTCATTTCAGAAGCCATACATGGTTTCCCATTTACGGTCGGTTTTGAAGTTCGATACTATAACAAAGAAAAACGTACGTATGAGAAATTTGAACAGGGAAAACTTTTACAAGTGAATTTGCTTGTAAACTTAGAAACAACTCTTCAAGCTTTTCAAGAAAAAATAACGATATCTATCTCGAATATGCAAAACAGTACAACATTGACGAAGGAGAGTACCATCTCGATATTATATATGACAGGAAAAATGCAACTGTTAAAATCAATAAAATAGAAGACCTTGGAGAAAACGTTTATATTTCTACAAAATATAACAACTTGGCATGGTATAGATTTTTGAGGATGTTAAATCAGCCTGCAGAATATCCAGTACACCCGGACTTTTATGAAGTCGAAAACCCTAATGGAACATATGAAAATGTTTTCGACTCAGATGCTATTATCGTTCATGCTTCATTTTTCTGGCGCCCAAAACTCTTTTTATGCTTGGCAAATGACTTTTACGAAAAAAGCTACAAAGCTATATGAACCACCAAGTGGAAGTATTTCAGACTTTCAAGTATGGTTTACAAACAGATGGAAGAAAGAGAATAGTTCCATTATACCATGCGTTTTACTTAGAACTTAGTTTCATATACAACTATACTATCGAACGGTAAAAATATAATTTTAATACGGTTGAGGTGTTGGATTTGGTTGCCAACTAGACTGTGGTGCAGGTTCAGGTTGTTGTATAACAGGAGCTTGTTCTTCTGGTTCAGGGTCTTTAGGTATAATACCAACGAATTGACCTACTCTTTTGCCAATATTTTTGACTCCGTTCCAAATTCCTCTTCCGACAGATTTTATTCCATTCCATATACCTTCCAACATTTCGAAAGAAGTTTCCTATTCTTCCAAAGAAACCCATTTTACTATATGTAAAAATCTAATGTCCGCCTAGTCTCTTACGTTTCCTGTTGAGTTCCATAGCATTTTTTAACTGGAGCTCATACATTCTGTTTCTCTCTCTGGTAGAAAACATACTCTGGGTCAACTCCTGTGTTCGCGTCATCTGCATAGAGTTGTTTATATCCCACTTCAGGGTTTGTATAAAACTCTTTCCATCTCATATTTGCATACCATGGTGGCAAACCTAACGCAGCGTCATTTGACATGGCAGTTTGCATTTGTACATCTGTTGGCACTTGACCATAGTTTGCCATTGCAGTTTGTATTCTAACTTCATTTGGAATATTCTCTGGGTTTGGTTGTCCAGGTTGCTGTGCATTCGCTAAGTTCTGTGCGTCCATTTAATATTAGATAAAAATATCTCTTACGAGTACATATGCTGAACATTTGCAGACATTGGTTCATCTTCATATTCTCTGTACTTCTCAGCCACGTCAAATAAGTAAATGACACAATGGAAAAAACCTAAAACAAGTAGTCCTATTTCAAACCACATTTAGTTACCAATAAAATTTCTTTGTTGTGACACTTTTTCCGGTTTATAGGACCTCTCTCATATTCTATCTTGTCATATCTAAACTCATAGTCATGTATGTCCTCTAACCATCTCATAACGGTTTCCAAACCACTTTTATCGGATGTAAAGTAAAAACATGGATGGTTATGTAAAACGTCTAAAGTTTCTAAAGAGTCTCTCAAAGTCCAGTCTACTTGGTATTGAAAATCCCATGTGTTATAGAACGGCGGGTCTACTATAAAGAAAACATTTTCCTTGTCTTTATATTTTTCATACAACTCTGTCCAACGACATCTCACAAACTCTATACCCTCAGTATATTTTTCTATGTTCTTTTTGAAAACCTTTGTATAGTTAAGATATAAAACTTTTGACATAAGTGTTTCAATGTCATGAACTCTTATAGCACCACTATATAATAGTCTAGAAGATATACTATCCCAGTCAATATACTCTGCTTTTTTCAAAACCTCTCTGACAGTATTTTTCTTATCTAATGGTATACGTTCCATCTTACCTATAGGTATCTTTTCTTTTAACTCTTTCAATATTTTGTTTGTGTCTGGTATATGTTTGAGACGGTCCATATAGTTGTCGAAGTCATTGCATATAATCTTTGAGTCAGGAAATATTGTATGGCACAAATGAGATATATAGAAACTTCCACCGAACAAATCTACAAATGTTAGACCATTCGGTAGTTTCTTAAGTTCTCTCAATAGAATATCTTTACATCTACTCTTATTTCCAAAGAAGGGTAACGGTGGTTTTGTAAAATTCATTTTATATACAATAAAAATGTTTTTTCCTGAAAAGTGACAGAAAAGTGACAAAACATCTTCGGGGCTAGAGGGCACGAAGTGCCTGGAAGCCCCAATACCCTTTTTTTTTTTCATTCGAAGTTACCTTTTGTAACAACCACCACTGCCTACGAAAGACGAAAGTGTGTCACGATTTCACCCGGAAATCCGACGGTTGTTTAAGAGTATGCACTTTTGTCACCTACTCTTGAGAACTTATGATTTTTATTTAAGGGTATAGTCCACTAAAAATTTTTAAGTTTTGACAATGAAAATAAGCTCTGTGACCATGTAAATATATAAAAAAAAAGGTATTGGGGCCTCCAGGCACTTCGTGCCCTCTAGCCCCGAAGATGTTAGTATAAAATGCAGTTTATATAAAATGAGGTTTTTTTGGGTATAGGGGGCTTCCCAGGGGCTGCGCCCCTTCTAGCCCATAAAATTTTTGAAAGTCGTTGCTGTTGACTTTTTTTGTAGAGGACTCAAAATAGTATAACTATGTCCGGACAAGTAAGGGTCTATCGTCGCTACAGAAAAGTTACGGGCGTTCCAAGAAGTATACTTTGAGAGACTCTTTAGAAACTTTAGACGTTTTACATAACCATCCATGTTTTTACTTTACATCCGATAAAAGTGGTTTGGAAACCGTTATGAGATGGTTAGAGGACATACATGACTATGAGTTTAGATATGACAAGATAGAATATGAGAGAGGTCCTATAAACCGGAGAAAGTGTCATACAAACATCTGTCAAAAGCCGCTTTTTAACTTCACTTAAAATGCCACGTAAGCTACGTAAGAATATACGTAAGAGGAAGAGAGCATTGAAACATCCAATAGTAAAACTGACACCACAACAACAGTTGCAACAACAAATGCTGAATGACCCCACTATGTTGCAACAAATGTCAAGCAATCCTATGCTTTTAAACCGAGTTGTTGGTGCACAGAGTGGAGGTTTAAGAGCGGCACTTTTAGCGAAAATGGCAGGCTATGGTGGAGCTGCAGACGGAACAGCATATAACCCTCAAAGTCAAATGAATTTGAGTTCACTCAAAAATCAAATAACAGATGTCAAAAAGTCAAACATAGACATACAGAAGCAAATAAGTGAAAACGAAAAAGAAACTAGAATATGACAGACACACAAAGAAACTCAATGAGTTAAACGTAGAGAAAAAGAAGAAAGAAGAACAACTGAAAGAACTAAGTACAGAGGAATATGCGAAAAAAGTGTCAGAAAAAGCAGCAGAAGTAGCAAAAATGGAACAAGATGTCATAAATTTGAAAAAACCATACTACTCGATATAAAGTACTGAAAGATGAAGAAATAAAACAAAAAGCCCTGAAGACATATATGGATAGCGATGAGTATAAAAAGAAGTTGAAGCAACTGTAAAGGCAGAAAAACTTTTACAGTTGCAAAACCAAACCGTACAGTATGAAAACTTAGCACAAGAAAGTAAAAATAACGACGCGGGCTATGCAAAAGGCAATGAAAAGCTCAGAATATATAAAAGCTAACAATGACTGGTTAGATGCCCAAGCCAACGCTAAAGCAGCCCAACTCATAGGGTCAATAAGGACAAAAATACAAGCGGATTGAAGACAGTTCAAATGAAACTTTAACAAATGCTGACTTTAAGAACGCCTTCGAAGCTCTTCATAGTAAGGTGAAACAAGTGAACGATTTCTCATCTGGAAAGAAACTGAAGTCTGAAGGTTTCGACAAAGAGTTAAAAGAAGTAGCACAAAATATGACGAAAATAACAGATGCAGCAACGAGACAGGCAGTTCAAAGTGCCTATGACGCCGTTAGAGCAACTGTTGTGAAAAGTCAAGAAAAAGAGTTACAACAGACCAAAACAGACCTAGTAAATGCTTTCTTAAGAACGAAAAGTCAGGTAGGACATTACGCTGCAGATGGAACATATGTGCCAGCTGGTGGAACTTATATACCACCAAACCCTCCAAGGAAGCACCTGCACCAGGACTACTAGAAACATTTACATCGTCACATGGACACAGACACAGGCATGCACCAAAACCAACACACAACCAACACAACAACCAACACAACAACCAGCACAACAACACCTCCACAACCAGCACAACAACCAACACAACAACCAGCACAGCAACAACAGTTCAAAACCCTGCACAACAACAACCACAAACAGAGCAAGGACATAAAAGAAGTAGAGAACAAGGAAACCAAGAATTCTTAAAAATGCTTAAAGAAGAGTGTGGTTTCCCAGATAGTATTGACTTTAGTGACAGATATAAAGAAGCTATTGGAAAGTTCAAGGATGGAAATACTGACCCGAACCTATTTAGCTTTATGGCTCAGCACCAAAACGGATATAATCTCAAACCTGGAAAATACAAGCTCGCTAAGGGATATGATTTAATAGCATATCATCCAAATGACATGGATGAATTTACTCCGAGATATTTGATGTCAGAGCTAAATGACAATTCAACTTTCGTCATGAAACGCGTAAAAAATAGAGACGGAACGAAAGAACAAAAGCTTATGAATGCGGATGACGTAGATAGGGAAATTGTTGAAAACGGTCTCGGAATATATGAAATGCCAGCAGATGAGGTACAAGAAACTCCACAGGAAGAAGTTCAGATACAACCAGACATGGAAGAAATAGTTCAGCAACAACAGCTAGAAGAGCCTGAAGGAAACGAACAAGTCCTTCCTTTGGAAACTAACTTCACAGAACTAGATGAAGATTTGGAACAGCCGAAAAATCTTGACCCTCAACAAGAGTATGCGGAGAATATGGAATATTTCCAAGAGTCTAAAAAAAATTCGGCTGACATAGTAGAAGAATATCGAAAAATGTTTGCCGACATACAAAAGACTCCAACACCAGATGAAAATATTCGCATAGAATGGAAGCACTGAAAGAAAATGTACACAAATACAACAACCCTTTTTACTTACGAGCATTTAACGTTCAATCTTTGGATGAACTCGGTGAAGATAAAAGGTTAAATTTCAAGAAAACATATAGAAATGAAACATTGTTTAAAGTTCATTCAGAACCTAACCAAGATGGAAACAAACCTACTTTTGTTTCTGCAGACGATGGAACTACAATGAGATGGGGTCATAAAGCTAATCCGGATAGGTGGTTCATAAACTTACAACCACAATTCCAAGAAGTTGTAGACGCAATGGAATTGAATGGTGAACGAGATATAGCTGGTATTTTAAGCGCGGCTTTAATGCCATTGAAAGATATGAAACATGCAGATATTTTGAACCAGTATGAAATGAACATGGCTGATGGAAATATAACACCTGACGTTCTAGAACATTTATCTCAAAGAACTACACAGAACCATAGAGATGGTATATTGGTGAAGAGTTTAGAAAGAAAGTTAGGGAGGGAGAAGGAAGAGAACCTATTGTACATGACCTTGCAAACGAAAGTTTACAAAATGTCATAAAAACTTACTTTGCAGACAATGAACCGAGAAGGGATGAATATTTAAGAAAACTCAAATGGACAGTACCAAATGAAATGTTAGTATTGAAAAACATGTTCCTTGACAAAATAAAACCAACTACAGAAATAAACGACGCAAGACTGAAAGATTGGGTAAAAGCTTTCCCGTTCACAAAAGATATAATTGGTAACATGGAAAGAAAACCAGAATGGCTACAAAAACATATATTTGGAAACGAGCTTATTCCATATGGACAGGCACTGTTTGAAGAGCTTGAACCGGAAACTCAGGAAAGAGTCATGCAAACAATACGCAAAGACTCAAATACAAACTATGACAAACTCTTTCTAGGATATAGGTTACCTGAGATGGGCGACCAGAGCCCAAAGGCAAAAAGGACATGGGAAATTTACAACATACTAGGTGAACATGAGGCAAAGATGCAACAACTTGAAGCAGAGGGCAATGAAGGAAAAAGAAGAGTTAAAAACTCAGTCAGGAAGAAAGTAAAGCTTGGTCCACGTGGGTTCTATTATGGCATATAAATCCAACTATTCTATATTTTTACCCATATGAAATGTACGCCGCTCAGAATATAACGCCAACAGTTTTGGATGCCATGAATGGAAATGTTTCCGAATGGTATAACGAATGCGACAATGCCATTAGAAGGTCAGAAATAGTTCCTGGAACTTACGAATATACAACTGCTGTTTCTTATGGAAACGTAGGTGAGTTTGGAGAAGGTTCTTCAACAACAGTAGATATTGCTTGCGACAGGTTTCATATAATTTCTATTGACAACTCTTTCTTATACGTGGAACAAGACATTGAAATAAAACCTTCTGCCAAGTTGTCTGACAAGAAAGGTTGCAATGGAATTTTCTATGTCGGATACCAATATGCTCCAGAAGTTTTCATGGGATATAAGATATATTCTAACTCTGACTTAGTTCAAACAGTAACATGGGCAAACTATGAATGGTTCGCTTTGAGAAACTCAGTACAACCACAAGCTAGAGAACAAACAGACCAGTATGCAACTATTGAGAAAATAAGAAGACTTGACCCTAACGTTCCAGGAGTTTATGTTAACCTTTCTGGACAAACTGCAGCAGCAGTAACCAAAGTAAAACTGAAACTTAGAGTTCCTTTGTCATCTTTCCTCATCTTCAGGTTTTTAAGATACTTACCAAACTGGGCAGGAAAAATTTCTATCGAACTTACTCCAAGCAAAAATAACTTAGTCATTGCACCAACACAAGACCCATTCACTCTTACAGACGTAAAGGGAGCAAATCAAACGTCATTCGCCGAATTTTGCAAAGACAAAGTTGACTTAGACTTTGGTTTCTCAAACTTCAACACTGAAGTAAACTATTATTTCAATGCTGCTGGAACTGCTTGGGACCCAGTTAAGTTCACATGCGAAAAGTTTGAATGCAGAGAATAGAAGCAACTTGCAGTCTATATGTTGGACCCAGATATTTCAAATGCTTTAGCTGCCAAATATATTGCAGTTCCGCTTATGTTCCCTATACACCAAATATCTGTCAAAGACTTTGCAGGTGAAGTTGGAAACCAAAGTGCTGACCCAGGTGCAAGAACAGATATTGCTTTAACAACTGCAATGAAACATGCAGATACTATGTTTGTACTGTTCAGACGAACTATAAATGACTATTCTTGTTTCTACAACCCCGGTATTAAATATCATATAAACATAGATGGCAAATATATCCAAGAGAAGAATATTCTACAGTTGAGGATATGAGGTCATACAACTTGACATTAGATGCTATGAACTTTAACAACAACTTCACAACAACCATTAACCCTGAAATGCAAAGTTCTATTATGCCATATGTGAAAGTATGGACCCATACAGGAGCTCAAAACAACTCAATATACAATGGAGACCGTTCAAACTTTTGGCTTGGCATTCCATTTGCTGACTCAGAAGACTTTATGGGTGGTATTTCAACTGTTGGTACAGTTCAAATACAATATACTGGTGACAGAGACGGTCCAAATGAATTGAAACAAAGAAGTTTACAAAACCAATAGCACTTTTCACGGAAGATGCTCTTTTGAAGATTCGTTCGATGAAACCTGCTGGGGCTCCTCAGATTGGTATAACGACAGCTTCCATCGAGCAGATTTTGGCAGCAGGTCAGTAAGTTGTTCTTGAACTGACTTCTCTCCGTCAAATATTGACAGTACGCCAGTTTTGATATAATATTGTATTATAAACTTACCTTTAGAAATATCGGTCAGTTTTGTTGTTATATTTTTGTCTGCTTCAAGAACTTTCACCATCTCGGTTATACCAACTTTCTTTGCTTTATGAAAATATTTTGGTTCAGCAAAGACTGCTATTCTATAACATTTTCCATTGTTTGTGTAAAGAACTACTCTGTCAATGTATTTGTATTGTTTGTGTGTGTAAACTTTGTTTTGCTTCAATTCGAAGAGATACTCAAATACGTCCATCTTTTTATTCTAAGTAAAATGTCATTTCCGAAAAATAGAAGCGTAAGTGTTTCAAAAGGTTTAATGGCGGTGGCAGATGTGAAGTTAAATTCACCAACTCAAACAAACAGTCAAAGTGTTATTGTCAATGTCAAAGAAAGAGATGTTGAAATGGGGAAACCATACGAAGACGAAGATGGTATATAACAATAGTTCCTGTAAAAGAACAACCAACATACCCTGAAGTTAGCAGAGACTTAAGTTCTGTTGCAGATATTCGAAACGACTACCAACAACTTAAAGACAAACTTAAAACTCAGGAGAAGATTTGTCAGGCTTTGGGTATAATGTTAAACTTGGTTGAGCACAACCCTGTAAAAGTGAACTCATATGTCATTGCACCTCATGAAGTTTTGAAAGAACTATTGAAACTTTTGACAGAGGCAGACGATATAAACATCAAAGAAATAGAACCCGACGTTAGTTGCTGTGGTGTTTCATATAATGTCATTGACAAGATATACGTTATGAAAGGAGGTGAAACGTTGAACTTAAAAATATAGTTTCCCAGACGTCATAAAAATATTTGACGACCACAACATTTCATTAAAGTTTGTTTGCTAAGTAAATGGCAGAAGACATAGTGGTTTATACTATTACGACTAAAAACCCTGAGTCATATAATTCTATAACAACAAACTTACAAAGTCCTCAAGGACGATATTGTAAACTGACCTTAAACACGATGACGACTAAAGCCTGTTTTGCTCTTTTGACACCAGAAGATTTATTGTTGTGAATGGTAAAAAATACTCCTTTGAAGATACTTACTCAGATATACCACCAACAGGTTTTGTTGACTTATTTAATACTTTAAGGACGGATGTAACATGTGCTGCAACTAGAGCAGGTTTCATTATGTTTGGATGTCCGACTGAGTTTAGTATAAACGATATGAGCTATAATACAAAACTTATATCTGGTTTTTACTACCAACAGTTTCCTATAACAGGAAAAGGTGTCATACAAGGTTTGTCTGTTCCATTGACTTTAAGTACACCAATCTTATATATTGTTTCAAACTTAGGTTCAAAGTGCTATTCGAATGTCGACAGAAACTACTATGACCAAAAGATACTCATGCGTATAAACAACACTTTCTCTGCTGGTTTGCCTATTGTTCATTCGAATGCAGAGTTTTCAGCTTTAGTGAACTCAAACACTTTAGCAAACATAAACTTAACCTTAGTTGACGCAAACTTTGTTCCTGTAAAACTTTTATGTCCTATGTATTTGTCAATGACGGCAGAAAGTTTCGAATTGGAAGATGCAACTGGTGAAAGTATTGTACTACAAGAACAACTTCAACAACAAATAGCTCAAGAACAACAAATGCAACAAATGGAAAAATGCAACAACAAGCTCAAGAATAAAAAAATATTTTTTTTTATTTTTATAAAAATGTACAGAATAGACGTTTCAGATTTTTATGACTTCCAAGCGTTCAGAAATATGTGTCCATTTCGAGACTATAACAAAGCAGTCGAGAATTTGAAACGTTTAGTCATTTATGTCGACTCTGCCCAGAATGTTATGTCATGAAAGAATGGGATGTAGTCTTTAACAAACCAAGAGCGACAATAGTTTCAGAACAAGAATGTAAACAGAAACTTAAGAAAATAAAAGTTGTACAAGTTGGCATGAAGATGTTAGATGCTTGGGATATCTTATTGTCAAAGTTAGAAGATTTTTCAGTTCGAGGTATAAAGTTCTATACACCTTCTCCAAACTTCTATTCTATCTTCACTGGATATAAATACGAACAAGTAGAATGGAAAGAAAATGTTATAGAAGCTTGGTTAGACCATGTCAAAGAAATTATATGCAATGGAAACGAAAGAGTCTATGAGTATATCTTATGTTGGTTTGCAAACATCTTACAACATCCAAGTGCTAAAAATGAAACTGCTCTCATCATAATTGGAAAACAAGGAACAGGTAAGAACACTTTCTTTACAGATATCTTATGCAAACTGTTAGAGGCTATTCGAACCCTAATATGACAAACTTAGAAAACATCTGCGGTAAATTTAACTCTTCAATAGAGAATATGAAACTTATAGTATGTAACGAACTTCAAAGTATAGATACAACAAAAGTTTTGAAACTCGATGCTTTGAAGAGTCTTATAACAGACAAAGTTGGAGTTGTTGAAAGAAAGTATAGAGACCAAAGAGTTTGTGAAAATGTTGCAAACTTCGTCATGGTTTCAAACAACGCCGTTCCGATGAAGTTAGAAAGTTCTGACAGAAGATATGTAGTTGTCAGAACGTCAGAAGCTCATATGCAAGATACAGAATATTTTGACGACTTAGCAGAAACTTTGACACCTAACTTTTACAACCACTTGTTCTCATATTTCATGACATTAGATATTTCAAGTTCAATCCAAGACAAATTCCACATACCGAAGAGAGACAAACATTGTTAGAAGCAAACAAGAGTGTATATGAACTGTTTCATAGATGAAACTGACTTTGAGTGTTTAGATGAAAGGTCATTGTACGATTCGTATAAACAGTATTGTCAAGAGTATGGTTATATGACAGCGTCTAAACGAACATTCTTGGCAAATGTCAAAAGTCTTTTAGATGTTCAGAATGGTGTATATACAAAGAAAAATTTTTCTGAGTAAATTTTAAAAAAAATATTTTTTTTATCCGATAGAAAAGATGACAAAATTCATCTCAGTCAACAAGTATATGTCAGGACTTAAAGAAGAACTAGACCCATTCACATATTTGAATGTTTACTTCTACCATTTTGAAAAGTCTACATTTGACAAAGTTTGGAACATCGAACCAGTTAAGTTTGCTATTGTGACTAAAAATGGTGCGAAATTTGAAGACTTAGACATAGAAGGTTTGTTAACAGTCAAAGAAAGTTTTGACAGAAGGTTTTCAAACCTTAAAGAAGGCAAAGCATACAAACTTGTTATACCTTATGAACCAAAGAAAGCAGACGACTATGAATATTATGAGTCTAAGATAGTTGAAGTTCAAGGTAAATTGGG